TAGCATGTCTTGGGGGTATGATATTTGTGCGTCTGTAAATTTCTCACTCATTATTATTCATGATTCATTGAGGAATTTCTGTAACCATGATAGCATCCACATTAATGTAGAAGTGTTTAGAAACATATTATCATTTCAAATCCGAAGTGCTGGAGTAAAGAGCCAAAACAAAACAAAAATAGCCACTGTCCCACTAACTATTCCACTGCATCTCTCTCTCGCTCTCTCTCTGCCCACACGCCCTAGCTTACCAACAATAGCCTCTCTGTCTCCCTGCCATCACAGGTGGCCCGTGACCTTTCACAGATTTTATATGGCACAAACAACACCATTTCGCCATACATGAGCATGGCAGAGAGCACATAAACCTGCAGTTAGAGCTGGAGTCATTTTGTGTTCTTTTTGTTTACAGTACATTAGGGCAGGGGTTCCCAAACTTTTTCACTCAAGCCCCCCTTCCAGCATGTGGGAACATCGCACGTCCTCCCCCCCCCCCCTCCCCTGCACGCACATCTATTTCTCTGGGCACAAGCACTGTTCATGACACAAACTGTTCACACCCCTCTTGTTGGCGGAGAGAACATTTTGCAGGTTTAAAGCTTATTTCCTTTGGTGGCATGTCTTGTGGCGTATGCATGGGTGTCTGAGCTGTGTGCTAGTAGTTTAAACAGACACCTCGGTGCATTCAGCATGTCAACACTTCTTACAAAAACAAGTAGTAATTAATGAAGTCAATCTCTTCTCCACTTTGAGCCATGAGAGATTTACATGCATATTATTAATGTTAGCTCTCCGTGTACATTTAAGGGCCTGCCGTGCTGCCCTGTTCTGAGCCAATTGTAATTTTCCGAGGTCCCTCTTTGTGGCACCTGACCACACGACTGAACAGTAGTCCCCCTACAACTCATCCAGAATGCCGCAGCCCGTCTGGTGTTCAACCTTCCCAAGTTCTCTCACGTCACCCCGCTCCTCCGCACACTCCACTGGCTTCCAGTTGAAGCTCACATCTGCTACAAGACCATGGTGCTTGCCTACGGAGCTGTGAGGGGAACGGCACCTCCGTACCTTCAGGCTCTGATCAGTCCCTACACCCAAACGAGGGCATTGCGTTCATCCACGTCTGGCCTGCTGGCCCCCCTACCTCTGCGGAAGCACAGTTCCCGCTCAGCCCAGTCAAAACTGTTCGCTGCTCTGGCACCCCAATGGTGGAACAAACTCCCTCACGACGCCAGGACAGCGGAGTCACTCACCACCTTCCGGAGACACTTGAAACCCCACCTCTTTAAGGAATACCTGGGATAGGATAAAGTAATCCTTCTACCCCCCCTTACCCCACCCCCCCCACATTTTATTTATTTATTGTAAAGTGGTTATCCCACTGGCTATAAGGTGAATACACCAATTTGTAAGTCGCTCTGGATAAGAGCGTCTGCTAAATGACGTAAATGTAAATGTAAATGTAGTCCAGATGAGACAAAACTAGGGCTTATAGGACCTGCCTTGTTGATAGTGTTGTTAAAAAGGCAGAGCAGCACTTTATTATGGACGGACTTCTCCCCTTCTTAGCTTCTGTTGTATGAACATGTTTTGACCATGACAGTTTACAATCCAGGGTTACTCTAAGCAGTTTATTCACCTCAACCTGCTCAATTTCCACATTATTTATTACAGGATTTAGTTGAGGTTTAGGGTTTAGTGAATGATTTGTCCCAAATACAATGCTTTTAATTTTTGAAATATTTAGGACTAATTTATTCCTTATCACCCATTTTGAAACTAACTGCAGCTCTTTGTTAAGTGTTGCAGTGATTTCACTCACTGTAGTAGCTGACGTGTATAGTGTTGAGTCATCCGCAGACATAGACACACTGACTTCACAGCTGCCCTGGGGATTTCCTGATTCTACCTGGATTATGTTGAAGAGGTTTCCATTAAAGAATACCCACTGTGTTCTGTTATACAGGTAACTCTTTATCCACAATATAGCAGGGGGTGTAAAGCCATAACACATACGTTTTTCCATCCGCAGACTATGATCGATAATGTCAAAAGCCACACTGAAGTCTAACAAAACAGCTCCCACAATCTTTTTATCATCAATTTCTCTCAGCCAATCATCAGTCATTTGTGTAAGTGCCGTGCTTGTTGAATGTCCTTCCCTATAAGCATTCTGAAATTCTGTTGTCAATTTGTTTACAGTAAAATAGCATTGTATCTGGTCAAACACCATTTTTCCCAAAAGTTTACTAAGGGTTGATAACAGGCTGATTGGTCAGCTATTTAAGCCAGTAAATGGGGCTTTACTATTCTTGGGTAGCGGAATTAGTTTTGCTTCCCTCCAGGCCTGAGGGCACACACTTTCTAGTAGGCTTAGATTGAATATATGGCAAATAGGAGTGGCAATATCGTCCGCTATTATCCTCAGTAATTTTCCATCCAAGTTGTCAGACCCCGGTGGCTTGTCATTGTTGATATTTTTTTGACCTCTTCCACACTCACTTTACAGAATAAAAAATTACAATGCTTGTCTTTCATTTATTTTGTTTTTCTATTTGTAATTTAGCAGATGCTCTTATCCAGAGCGATTTACAGTAGTGAGTGCAGCCATGCTGTTTGGGTCATTCAAAATGGACCGAAACCTACTTGTGATCCTTACTTAGTTGTAATCTTGCATTCAATGGAATATTTGCATAAAAATCTACCCATACAGTGCATTCAGAAAGTATTCAGACCCCTTGACATTTTCCACATTTTGTTACGTTACAGCCTTATTCTAAAATTGATTTTTTTTTTTATAAATCCTCATCAATCTACACATAATACCCCATAATGACAAAGCGAAAAACAGGTTTTTAGACATTTGTAAAAATGTATAAAAAATAAAAACAGAAACCTTATTTACATAAGTATTCAGAACCTTTGCTATGAGACTCGAAATTGAGCTCAGGTGCATCCTGTTTCCATTGATCATCCTTGAGATTTTTCTACAACTTGATTGGAGTCCACTTGTGGTAAATTCAATTGATTGGACATGATTTGGAATGGCACACACCTGTCTATATAAAGGTCCCACAGTTGACAGTGCATGTCCGAGCAGAAACCAAGCCATGAGGTCAAAGGAATTATCCGTAGAGCTCCGAGACAGGATTGTGTCGAGGCACAGATCTGGGGAAGGGTACCAAAACATTTCTGCAGCATTAAAGGTCCCCAAGAACACAGTAGAATGGAAGTTTCCTAGAGCTGGCCGCCGGGCCAAACTGAGCAATCGGGGGAGAAGGGCCTTGGTCAGGGAGGTGGAGATGGGAGAACCTTCCAGAAGGACGACCATCTCTGTAGCATTCCACCAATCAGGCCTTTATGGTAGAGTGGCCAGACGGAAGCCACTTCTCAGTAAAAGACACATGACAGCCCACTTGGAGTTTGCCAAAAGGCACAGAAAGACTCTCAGACCATGAGAAACAAGATTCTCTGCTCTGATGAAACCAAGATTGAACTCTTTGGCCTGAATGCCAAGCGTCACGTCTGGAGGAAACCAGACGTGGGATGTTTTTCAGCGGCAGGGACTAGGAGACTAGTCAGGATCGAGGGAAAGATGAACAGAGCAAAGTACAGAGAGATCCTTGATGAAAACCTGCTCCAGAGCGCTCAGGACCTCAGACTGGGTTGAAGGATCACCTTCCAACAGGACAACGACCATAACCACACAGCCAAGACAACGCAGGAGTGGCTTCGGGACAAGTCTCTGAATGTCCTTGAGTGGCCCCAGCCAGAGACCGGACATGAACCCGATCGAACATCTCTGGAGAGACCTAAAAATAGCTGTGCAGCGACGCTCCCCATCCAACCTGACAGAGGTTGAGAGGATCTGCAGACAAGAATGGGAAAAACTCCTCAAATACAGGTGTGCCAAGCTTGTAACGTCATACCCAAGAAGACTCAAGACTGTAAGCGCTGCCAAAGGTGCTTCAACAAAGTACTGAGGAAAGGGTCTGAATAATTATGTAAATGTTATTTTTCAGTTTTGTATTTTGTATAAATTTGCAAACATTTATAATAACCTGTTTTTGCTTTGTGATTATGGGGTATTATTGTGTATAGATTGAAGAGGGGGGAAAAACAATTTCATCCATTTTAGAATAAGGCTGTAACGTAACAAAATGTGAAAAAATTGAAGAGGTCTGAATACTTTCCGGATGCACAATAAATTCTGCACATGGATCACAAGTTGAGATTCGGCCCTATGAGTCCAAATCCATTCCTGAACTGAAGCACAGGACAGTACAGTGTACGGAGTATAGCTATGTTTTTTCTTCTTCTAGGTATTGTTATTGTTGTTGTTGATGATGAGGATGATGGTGCTATTGGTGCCCTCTTTGAAGGGGTGGAGGATTTATGTATGGTGAGGAATGACAGTGAGGGTGGTGCACCACTGTTATGGAAACCACAATGTTGGTGCCCGTGTGTGTGGTGCAGGGCTGGCAGCACGGAGCGTCTCCCCCTGGCACCAGCCATGGCACTGCACTGGGCTCATGGAGGCTTTTCAGCTCGAGAGCTTTTCAGATAAACTGCTCTTTCTCTATTTTCTCTCTCTCTCTTCATCTTCCTGTGTCTCCATCCATCACGCTCTCTTTTTCTCCCTTTCTCTTTCTCTTTCTCTCCCTCTTTTCCTCTATTTTCTCTCCCTCTCTTTCGCTGTCTCCCTCTCTCGCTCCACATTGACTGCCATTCACGGCCATTCACCCAACACTTCATGAAGAACAAAAAAGTGCTCTTGAAGAAAAACATATCTGAAATGCCATGGAAGGCAGTTGGGATTTCTGCTTGACATTCTCTCGGACCCAGTGTCAAGTCGCTGCGTGTCCACTGTGGGTTCACTGTTTTCCGTCCCCTGTTTGTGGGACAGGGGGATGGAGGAGGGGTGGAGGGGGGGTGGAGGGGGGGGGGGGGGGGGGGTAGCCTGGCCCGGTGCCCAGAAGGAAGAAAGGAAGAAAGCGAGACGCATGGAGATGGAGACTGGCGAAAGATCACAGAGTTCATTACCATAGTTGGGCCATTACACCTGTGGTGGTCTGACAAAGCACACCCCTCACCTGCTTGAAATTCATGAATTGTGTTAACTCATGTGGAGCCTTGATCTGAGTGAGTTTGAAAGATTTCTATCTGAATTGGATGTAGTACGGAGAAAAAGCTAATAATAATATGCCATTTAGCAGACGCTTTTATCCAAAGCTACTTACAGTCATGCGTGCATACATTTTTGTGTATGGGTGGTCCCGGGGATCAAACCCACTACCTTGGCGTTACAAGCGCCGTGCTCTACCAGCTGAGCTACAGAGGACCACGATACATTTCATCGGACAATATTCTGTTAACGTCTCTGTTAAAACATTCCCAGTCAGTGTGGTATGTCTGTCAGTGTGACAGTCTGAGTTGCCCTTGCTGCCCTCACATAGTGAATGGGCTGACGGTGTGAATGGCTGGCTGCAGCAGCTGACAGGGCATGTATTGTTGTGGCTCTCAGTCATCATGGCTGCCAGGGGGGTGACTTGTGTTGTTGTTGTCAGATGTTGTTAAGTGAACCTGGCTAGCTGGTGGCTAGCTGGTGGCTAGCTGGTGGCTAGCTGGTGGCTAGCTGGTGGCTAGCTGGTGGCTAGCTGGTGGCTAGCTGGTGGCTAGCTGGTGGCTAGCTAGTGTTAGTGTACTTAGCATCAGTTGGCCGTGGCTGGAGACTTTTTGAAGTACTTTCCCTCAGTCCTCTATTGTCCTGAGTGACTTCTTCCTCCTTCCTCTCAAACAGCGCCATATATGGTCATGCCTGGGAGAAGCACGGTCTGACTCTGTTATTCAGTTTCTCTCCCCTTCAACGCCAACATTAACTGAACCCTGCTCTTTTAAATGAATGGAAAACTTCTTGACCCACCTGACCTCTTTCCTTAATAAAAACTCAGCCAAGGAAGCTAAAAAAAGATGAGATCTAAATAGACTCCAAGTTGCCCTATAACTAACCACCACAAGACTTGTGCCGTGTCTAGAAAACAACAACATATACAAGCTGTAAATATAATTTTTCCCACACAATGAGCCAGTCTTTTAGCTTCCAAATGTTCTTTAATTGCATAAAACCATCCCATTTTCAGATGAATCTCTTAAGTTATATTTTATCCAACTTTAGACAGCCTTTTACTTTGCTAAAGGTCAAAACGTTGGCCGTTGTCTAAACTCTAAAAACACAAGTCAACAATAACAGGGTAAAAGTCATGAAAAATAAGCTCTAAATCCAATGTATTCAGCCCTGTCTCTGACTAACAGCGCTCTCAAATAAACCCAGCTCACGTTTGTCTCTCTCTGCTCTGAGCTGCTTAGAAATGTACCGTGTTTATTGCTCGTCCTGATATTTATATATTTCTTAATTCCATTCTTTTACTTTTAGATATGTGGATTGTTGTGAATTGTTAGATACTACCGCACTGTTGGAGCTTGGAACACAAGCATTTCGCTACACCCACAATAACATCTTCTAAATATGTGTATGTGACCAATCAAATTTGATTGGATTTGTTTTAGTTTCCCTCTTCACACTGTCATCAGGATGTAGTGTAGGAACTTGATTAGCCCCCAGGAGGTTTGCTGCTGCTACGTGTGTGTGTCTGCGTGTGTGTGGGCTGGCCTTGTGGAATGTTGTGTGTGTCAGGGGAGGGCCAGGGTTGGGCTGTCCTGTGATGTCACAGACTACTGCTTCAGAAGAGCTGTCAGATAAATAGATGAGAGTGGGAAACCGGGGGGGAAGAAGGGGTGGAGGAGAGGATAGAAGGAGAGAGAGCAGTGCTCTGACCTGGCAGAGAGAAAAGTACAGAGCAGAACATTTTGTACTGGTGTTGGAAGGGTCAGCTTGTGTATCCTTATTCTCCACTTACCCTCTTGCAGTGTGTGTGCGCACACACACACACACACACACACACACACACAAACTGTCAGAACAGGGCCAAATTAGGAGTGATGAATTGGAAGGTGGAGCGAGGGATTATTTTTTCAAACAGAACCAAAGAAAAGCCACACTTGAAACCCGTACCAACCTTACATATGAAGCAGTAGAAACCCACAGGAAACTTCAATGTCTTTTCAATTCAAGTACCTTTTGACAAAATTACACTTTATTCTACAGGGGTCTGGCTCATTTTGACTCAACCAAACAAGTGGGACGCCTATTCATAAACATCCTGGGCCTAGGGTGTGGAAGTCTGCTCCCCACGTCAGTCAGTGGCCATGACATGACACATTAGTATTCACACCATGGGGTAGCTGGAGTGGAGGAGCCTCTGTGTCTGCCAATCAGCTCCGCCTTCAGCTAGCAACCAACGCCCATCAACACCTTGCCAAAACCGATGGCCTGCCTGGTGTGTTGCCATGGTGACATCATGTTGTCCCACCCGTCACCGTTGACCGCTGCAGTGCAGTGAAAAGGGGCAGGATTAGTGGGTTGATACCTCCCATGAATCCTCCAGTTGGTTGCATCTGAAGTCAAGGTCACAAGACTGTGGGTGGCAGGCTGTGTGTGCGCATGACTGTCGTGTAGACTTTTCCATAACGTGTTGTAAGGCGATCCCCTCCGGTGTTGCGGTGGTGTCTGGTGTGATGGTCTCCTCTACTATATTGGGCCTTTCTGTCGCTTCTCTGTCAGCTGATACAAGACAGACCTGCAAACACGTCAGCACCGCTCTGAGTGGGAGAGCTGGAAGGGGTGTGTGGCAGGTCTGAGGGCAACACACACACAGAGATGTACGTACACACACAGAGAGACACACCCCACTGACCGCAGCCTCCTCAGGTTTCATCCTCACTGTAGTGTGTGTGTGTGTGTGTGCGCGCGCGCAAGTCAGAAGGTGTGTCTATATTTTCAAATCTAGACCCCCTCTAAATCAAACAGTATCAGCTCGGACTGCTCAATGTTATGGCTACTATCAGACTACTAATAATAAGACCTGGCTTCTTGTTAACGTGACTCTCTTTGGAATACAATAAATATAATCTGAGCTTAGATGCTTAGATCACTTTTTCATGTGTGTTTGGAGGAGAACAGTGAATGTTTATACAGCTGGTTTAAGGTATCGGTGCAGAAATAGCCAGGTCACGCAAAGTACCAGGCAACATTGCTAGAGGTGCTAGACAGTGTCTCGGTGACTTGTAGGAATCTCTCTGCCCATACCTATGCCTCATCCGTAGTCTGCCATTAAATAGGTAGCAATACAAAATGGAGTACAGGTTTTAGAAAGGGGTTTGGCTATGAATCCATTGTGCATGTCTTTGGGAAGCTGACTATTTTTAAGACTGCATTTCTTTTTTTCTTTTTTTTCTCAAATGCATGCTATGAAAACCATTTTTCTTAGTTATAACTGTAGAAACCTAATTTGCTCAAGTGTAAGATGAATTGCGCCCATTGTTTAACAATGTACCTTTTCATTTAGAATGCTTTAGGGACACCTTTGTCTACATATAGCTAACTAAATGAATGTGACCCGGTTATTTCATGTTAAATAACAACCACAGCCAGTGCTTTTGTTACAAGCGCTGTGTTAGTAGGTTATCTGTAGCTACCATAATGTTTGGCTGTTTCATGAAAACCTCACCCTCGGGACACTGGGCCGGACTGACTCGCCATGTGTTCCTGTTGTGGTTATAAACACAGATTTGAAAAATGTGAAAAGTAAGTAAAAGTAAGTAGGGTTCCGTGCTCGGGGGTAGTAGTGGGTACCTGCTTAGTAGAGTGTTGTGCCTGCGCTCGTATCCTGAACTGGACTAGTCCACTGTCCCACCCCCCACCCCCTCCCCCACTCCACGTCCCTCCAGTCATCACTTCAGGCTTGGTAGTACAGCACTCTGACTTCTGAGAAGCCATAAAGGAACACCCTCACGTACAAAATGTAGGTCTGTTGCACCTGGCAGAAAAGTGAATCGTCACCACAGATGATATGGGGACATGACACTTTCAAAGCAAAGTTTGTCAGATGTTTTCAGACCTCTAGGGTAGTCTGTCAAGATAGAACCACAACCAGTGTCGTAGGACGTGGTTTCATCTTGACATTACTCTACTTTTGAGGTTTGAAAACATCTGTCAAAGTTTCATTTATGAGGGAAATGTGCCTTTAAGTTCCAGCACTCTTTGCCATCAAATCTAACTGTCTCTCTCTGTGTCTCTGTGTCAGTGCGGGGATGTCGCCCAGGGAAGATCGTGCAGATGTCAGAGGCTGAGGTGAGGGGCCTCTGCATCAAGTCCAGAGAGATTTTCCTCAGCCAGCCCATCCTGTTGGAACTGGAGGCTCCCCTCAAAATCTGTGGTAGGTGGTGATGATGATGATGATGATGATGGTGGCTGATGATGATGATAATGCTGATGATGCTGATGGTGAAGGTGATGATGATGATGATGAATCCCCACTACATCTCATGTCCAGTTCTGGACCTATTATTCATTCATTGGCCTGACTGTGGATGGATAGGCTATGGTAGTTAAGTAACCCCCCCCCCCCCCCCCCCCTCCTCAGGTGACATCCACGGCCAGTACACAGACCTGCTGAGGCTCTTTGAGTACGGGGGCTTCCCGCCCGAGGCCAACTACCTGTTCCTGGGGGACTACGTGGACCGAGGGAAGCAGTCCCTGGAAACCATCTGTCTACTGCTGGCTTACAAGATCAAATACCCCGAGAACTTCTTTCTCCTCCGGGGCAACCACGAGTGTGCTTCCATAAACCGCATCTATGGCTTCTATGATGAGTGTGAGTAGTATGCGTGCGTGCACACATGCTCTGTGCACATACACACACACGACACACACACACATCAATACCTCGCCTCATGCACTTGTTAGTGTATCATACAAGTAATTGAGCTAAATACCCACCCGACACACACGCTAATTCATGTTTATTTGCCATTCAACACATGTATGCTGTGACAAGAGTAAAGTTGCAAATGAATACACTTGCACACACAACTGTCTCACATGAGTGTACAAGATCCCAGATGATTGTAGAAAGTATATTTAATCTTCATCTCTTAATCATTCTCTAGGTAAGCGCAGATTCAACATAAAGCTGTGGAAGACATTTACTGACTGCTTCAACTGCCTTCCCATCGCTGCCATCGTAGACGAGAAGATCTTCTGTTGCCATGGAGGTGCAGTATTGCTGGAAGAGCTGTCCCTCAAACTCCCTGTCTATAAATGACATGGTTGTTAAAAGAGCATAGCGTTTTGTCTTGCTCAGAAAGTGAATATGAAAGTTGATATAGCATTAGAATAATGATTACATACTACATATGTATTAAATAGTTACAGTATATAAAATAATGCAAGCAGGCATTAGACATGAGTCATGACTATGATTAAGTGAAAAAAATAGTTAAAGGTTCTGTGCACAGCAGTGCCTCTCCTACAACGTGCTGGTCCTGCCAGGGAAGCTAACCTTGAAAGTTTGTGTGGTTTGTATGTGTTTTGGATGACTGAGTGCTGTTGTCTCTGTGCTCCTCTGTCTCCTACCAGGCCTCTCTCCAGACCTGCAGTCTATGGAGCAGATCCGTCGCATCATGAGACCCACAGATGTCCCTGACACAGGTAGGTCCACATACACACAGATGGATGGATGCACATGTACATACACATATACTGAACAAAAATATGAATGCAACATGCAACAATTTTCAAAGATTTTACTGAGTTACAGTTAATATCAGGAAATCAGTCAATTGAAATAAATTCATTAGGCCCTAATCTATGGATTTCACATGACTGGGAATATAGATATGCATCTGTTGGTTACAGATACCGTAAAAGAAATGGGCCTCACAATGGGCCTCAGGATCTCTGTGCATTTAAATTGCTACACATATTGTACGTGGACACACACACACACACACACACACACACACACACACATATGTTTTACTGTCCTTGTGGGGACCTATTTTATCTAACCCCTAACCCTAAACAACCCTTACCCTAACCCCTAACCCTAACTCCTAACCTAAACCTAACCCCTAACTCTTAACCCTAATTGTAACCCTAAACCTAAGCCTAAAATAGCCTTTGTCCTCGTGGGGGCCTGGGAAATGTCCCCACGAGGATAGTAATACAAGCCCACACACACACACACACACACACACACACACACACACACACACACACACACACACACACACACACACACACACACACACTCCTCTCCAACTCTCTAAGCTGTTTACAGAAACATGTGCTATTTCCTTTAGCAGACAGTAGGGGTCATCCCAGATTGTACTGTACATGATTTTGAGCAGTTTAGCTAATTCTTTGTTAAAGATTTTCTGTTTCTCCAAACCAAATGAATATTGAAATTACCATAGATGGGTTGTTTAAACATTACTTTAATGACTGTCCATGATCAACCCATTGTTATGTCAACACAGTAGACCTATGTGTAGTTACATCTAAATAAGGTTCTGAGAATCATTGAATACAGTGGGGGAAAAAAAGTATTTAGTCAGCCACCAATTGTGCAAGTTCTCCCACTTAAAAAGATGAGAGAGGCCTGTAATTTTCATCATAGGTACACGTCAACTATGACAGACAAAATGAGAAAACAAAATCCAGAAAATCACATTGTAGGATTTTTAATGAATTTATTTGCAAATTATGGTGGAAAATAAGTATTTGGTCAATAACAAAAGTTTCTCAATACTTTGTTATATACCCTTTGTTGGCAATGACACAGGTCAAACGGTTTTCACACACTGTTGCTGGTATTTTGGCCCATTCCTCCATGCAGATCTCCTCTAGAGCAGTGATGTTTTGGGACTGTCGCTGGGCAACACAGACTTTCAACTCCCTCCAAAGATTTTCTATGGGGTTGAGATCTGGAGACTGGCTAGGCCACTCCAGGACCTTGAAATGCTTCTTACGAAGCCACTCCTTCGTTGCCCGGGCGGTGTGTTTGGGATCATTGTCATGCTGAAAGACCCAGCCACGTTTCATCTTCAATGCCCTTGCTGATGGAAGGTGGTTTTCACTCAAAATCTCACGATACATGGCCCCATTCATTCTTTCCTTTACACGGATCAGTCGTCCTGGTCCCTTTGCAGAAAAACAGCCCCAAAGCATGATGTTTCCACCCCCATGCTTCACAGTAGGTATGGTGTTCTTTGGATGCAACTCAGCATTCTTTGTCCTCCAAACACGACTAGCAAACTTCAGACGGGCCTGGACATGTACTGGCTTAAGCAGGGGGACACGTCTGGCACTGCAGGATTTGAGTCCCTGGCGGCGTAGTGTGTTACTGATGGTAGGCTTTGTTACTTTGGTCCCAGCTCTCTGCAGGTCATTCACTAGGTCCCCCCGTGTGGTTCTGGGATTTTTGCTCACCGTTCTTGTGATCATTTTGACCCCATGGGGTGAGATCTTGCGTGGAGCCCCAGATCGAGGGAGATTATCAGTGGTCTTGTATGTCTTCCATTTCCTAATAATTGCTCCCACAGTTGATTTCTTCAAACCAAGCTGCTTACCTATTGCAGATTCAGTCTTCCCAGCCTGGTGCAGGTCTACAATTTTGTTTCTGGTGTCCTTTGACAGCTCTTTGGTCTTGGCCATAGTGGAGTTTGGAGTGTGACTGTTTGAGGTTGTGGACAGGTGTCTTTTATACTGATAACAAGTTCAAACAGGTGCCATTAATACAGGTAACGAGTGGAGGACAGAGGAGCCTCTTAAAGAAGAAGTTACAGGTCTGTGAGAGCCAGAAATCTTGCTTGTTTGTAGGTGACCAAATACTCATTTTCCACCATAATTTGCAAATAAATTCATAAAAAATCCTACAATGTGATTTTCTGGAGAAAAAAATCTCAATTTGTCTGTCATAGTTGACGTGTACCTATGATGAAAATTACAGGCCTCTCTCATCTTTTTAAGTGGGAGAACTTGCACAATTGGTGGCTGACTAAATACTTTTTTTCCCCACTGTAAGTCACAGAAAACCCAAGGGATGTAGTATCTGGTCATCAGACCGTTCTAGCAAACATCTCCTTATATGGGCGTGATGTGAACCACCGGACCGTGAGGCCATTTTACACGTCTCAGATCTTGTTATGGTTGTGTGTGTGTGTGTGTGTGTTCCAGGGTTGCTCTGCGACCTGCTGTGGTCGGACCCAGACAAAGACGTTCAGGGTTGGGGAGAGAACGACCGCGGGGTCTCGTTCACGTTTGGGGCTGATGTGGTCAGCAAGTTCCTCAACCGCCACGACCTGGACCTCATCTGCAGAGCCCACCAGGTACTGTAATGATCAAGTGACCTGTCATTGTAGTAGAAACAAGACATTAGAGTTGTCCAGTACTAGCAACATAATCCAGTACACTGTAGTGTCATCCACCCAAACCCTCTTACACACAGAAATGACAGCTCCAGTTCCTATAAACCCAAAGTATCAAATCTTAAAACACTTCTCTATTGCTGTTGAGATACTTAACAACGTACCACTGTAAAATGTACATAGTGAATATACTTAATGACAATGATATTGAGGGCTCACTAGTGGCAACACTATAGATAGTTACTGGAAATTATGCTGTAAACTGGGTGGTTCGAGCCCTGAATGCTGATTGGCTGACAGCCGTGGTATATCAGACCGTATACCACGGGTATGACAAAACATTTATTTTTACTTTTCTGATTATGTTGGTAACCAGTTTATAATAGCAATAAGGCACCGGGCTGTATCCAGGCACTCTGCGTTGCATCGTGCTTAAGAACAGTCCTTAGCCGTGGTATATTGGCCATTTATACAACGGGTGGGTCTAATCTTGAATGCTGATTGGATAAAAGAGCATTCCAGCCAGTGTCTATTCCACAAGTTACCACAGTCTAAATCTATGCCGTTAAAATACCTATTTACTCTTTTCCATCTGACTGCACAACCCACTGTCTCATCAGCCCAGCCAGGCAATTTATAAACATGATCTCCACTTTAAAAAGCATCTAGACATTATCTCACATTTCTTTTAGACTAACAACACCTCCTCAGGCTTTAACGGCTCAGGGCTGTATCCAGGCACATAAGAACAGCCCTTAGGCGTGGTATATTGGCCATAGACCACACCTCCTTGTGCCTTATGGCTTTAATTATAGCTACACACTTATATAGCTACGTATAGTTGCACTTCATGACTTTGATGGTCCCCTCCACTGATGTGCTGACTGTGTGTGCCTCCCCCAGGTGGTGGAGGATGGCTATGAGTTCTTTGCCAAGCGGCAGCTGGTGACTCTGTTCTCAGCTCCTAACTACTGTGGAGAGTTTGACAACGCCGGCGGCATGATGAGTGTTGACGAGACCCTGATGTGCTCCTTTCAGGTAACGCTATTAATGTAACGTCAGTAGTGTCATTGGAACAACAGCTGTTTTCTGTCTCTACAGAGAGTAAGGCGTGTTTGTCATTAGGGTAGACTGACTGAGTTTATTCTCAGGATAAGTCCCTAAAGTGTATCATTCCACACACTTATGTTTGTAGGCCTACACTGTTTAGGCAATAAGGTACAGTGGCTTGCGAAAGTATTCACCCCCCTTGGCATTTTTCCTATTTTGCAAGGCACTGTACTTGTCAATGCTACGTTTTGATTATCGCTACTATCACTCTGCTACAGCTGGGGCCAAACAACAGCCCTTAGCTTTGATAGAATCAAACCCTGTTCAGTCTCTTGCGTCTATTGGTTTTATTAATTCACCAGACATATTAAAGAAGAATTTCACAGGTGGAATATGCCTTGGATTGGGGTTTAGATGTATAGTCTAATGGTCCACCATCACTTTGTAGATCCTGAAGCCGTCTGAGAAGAAGGCCAAGTACCAGTACGGAGGGATGAACTCCGGCCGACCCGTCACCCCGCCCCGCACCGTGGTCCCGCCAAAGAAACGGTGAATGTGGAAGAGAGGAAGAGCGAGTGAGAGAGAGAGGAAGGGAGGGAGATGGAGGGACGTCGTGGATGAGTGTGATGGTCCCTGTGATCAGTTTTTCACAACGGCGAAACACTTGGCAGACATCAATAAACGTAGATAAAACGCAAAGTTTTTGATTTCATGACCCCCTGCTCCCCACCTCCGTTTGGTCTTTAGTTGGCATTTCCCTCTCTGAACTGTTCTGTGTCGCGGGCCGCTCCCCTCCCCCAAGGCTTAATCAGTGTAACAAACCACCCCCCCCCCTCCCCCCTCCCCAATGCTTCATCTGTGTAACCAACCACACCCGTTTAAAAAAAGTTGTGTTTAAAGAAAACAATGAGAACAGTCATTCTGTTTGCATATCGGAGTGTTTTTCATTGTGATTTTGTTCTTGCTTTTTGGCTTATGACAGAATGACAACTACTAGCCCCAGTTGACCATTTCACCACCCCACCTGTCAAGTAAGAACAGGTGTTAATGACAGTTACTGGGTTTTCAATAAATAAAATGGGGGAAACATTTTTTGGGTTGGTCAGTGTCTTTTTCATTGATATATATAATGTGCTTTCAATGCAGTGAAAAATAAAACACTTTATACTCAAAGTATTGTAAAAAGAAGACTAAATCACACAGAAATATAAAACAATCAATTTAATGTCACCAAATCAAAGCCATTTCCAACAGCAGCAACTGAAATTCCTCAAAACTGAAAAACTATAAAAATGCACACATGTATAGCCATGGTTCCCTTCGCTGTAGTAGCACATCCTGACGAATCAAATCCCTGCTCGCAGCCACAACCAAACATGATTGGAGTTCCATAAAACAAAGTTGAATTGTATGTATTAAACTCTACAGTAACATGTAACAATTATGTCCAAGAAGACTCTTTCTTCTCAAAACCTAATTGCATGCAGTACTTTAGCAATAGCTATAATTTCACTATCTACAACTAATAATTTAATCACTACTCTGCCTTGATCTGGTCTCGCATTCAAAAACACAGAATGTTTAACTTCTGGCCTTTCCTATATTTCACTCTTCTTGCTCATGTAATGTTTTATTACGCAACACTAGGCTGTCAACAGTGATCCATGCGACCTGTGTTGATAACAATTCCATGTTAAATCATTCAGACATGGTCATGACCTGAGTCCTGACTCCTTGGTCCTGATCCTCCACCATGTTCCAGAATTGTGAACTTGCACACTCCTCGTCATGGATTTAACATCCATGTGAGAAAGTTGTAAGTGCACACTTCGAGGAGAATCAGGATGCAACCTTAGTAATGCTCCTGGGCCCGGTTTCCCAAAAGCATCTGAAAGCTAAGTTCATTGTTAGAATCATAGGACCATGTCCCTTTTGGGAAACCGGGCCCAGACCAGTGGTGTAGTGGAGGGTATATGCAGGTATACTCTGTTTACCCACTTCTTTTTCAGTGGCCAATGTGTATATTCACTTCTTAATCTCCACGATGCGTACCAGAGTAGTGTAGTGGAGGTATACGCCAAATCAATTAATAAAGCTGATGAAACAGATCAGAATGATAAGCTTAAAATGTTGAACTATTATTTCTTCACATTTTAGGCGCAGCAATGTTTCAAAATGGAATTAGGGGGAAAACACCTTTCTAAAATGCACACAGCACATGCGAGCGGTTTCATGGACAGAGATGGAAATATTTAGAAAGAGGGGAGATCTAAAGATGCAACCACTATCATGAGTTGCTAATATGACTAGTATAATGCTTTTGGCTGCTAGACAATTAAAGAAAGTTGATTTGAAAACCAATATAACAGGAGAACGCATAGGAGTGTTTATTTAAATTTTAGTCATTTAGCAGACGCTCTTATCCAGAGCGACTTACAGTTTAGTGAGTGCATACATTTTCATACTGGCCCCCTGTGGGAATCGAACCCACAACCCTGGCGTTGCAAGCGCCATGCTCTACCAACTGAGCTACACGGGGCCAAATAATTGCCTTGGCTATAGGCTACTTTGAAGTAAAACAATTAAGGAACAGGAAAAATATAGTGATGCCAATGATAGACCTAACTGTCTTCTGGTAGATGGAAAGGCTTCCCAAAAACCTTTTCAGTTAAATGTTAACTAGCTACAAAGTAACCTATGCCTACCTGGCAGAATGATATCATGATTATTTGCATCAATCCAGTGGTCATTTGTTTTGCAAACTCCATCTCATGTGGCTACAGAAACACTGCTAACCAAACAACTGTGCTAGGTGCCTGGGCACTTGAATTAAAGGGTAACTACACTATGCATTGTTGTTATGGACTTAGAACATCCAATTTTGTTGTTTTAATTTTTTTTAAATCTAGACCGAATACCTGATTTATTTTATTGAAAAATCTGAAACTTGTGAATTTCTGACTCAGTTGACAACCTCATTAATCTGTTTCAGTAGTAGGACTACTATTAGCCTACAACACAGTACAGCTTGGGTTGGTCTGACTGTGAAAGACCAATATGGGATATCATTTTAGGTCCTTCAGAGTGTATAGCTTGTTTTCCATCCAATTGGCGACAGATTGTCATGCAAATATTTGCATAAAGAAAATGTACTAATTTTCCCACCAAACGGACTTGTTGATGATAAAAGTCTGTGCATGATGACGTAGTGTACATGCTGAAGTTTTCATGTACCGAATACAAATCTAAATGTTCAATCTGTTTCCATTGTATTTTTAACTCTACCAATAGTTTTGTCACAAAAAAATAGCAAATGTGCCTACTCTGGTCTTGGCATGTGCGCTCTAGCCAACAGCTAGCAGATACAGTGTGGGTAGGCTAGTCTACATGATGAGATTATTATGGATAAGAGAGAGAATCTTTTTATTTGTCAAACAGCAGTCATCATGTCACCAGAATAAGACCCTCGATATCACCATGCACTTTCACGATCCTGTAAAGTTAATAACTTATTTCATCTGTAGCCTAATAAACTGCACGGTTTCCTGAGTCATAGTGAGAGGAATGTTTTTGGCAAAATTTGAGTATACCCACTTCTCCAGGCACCACTACACCACTGGTTCAGACAGACGGGTATTGTTCAAAAACGTATAAAATGCTTGCTTGCTTCCTTCCTTGATCACTGATCTAACATGACAGGATAGGTGAATTATGTGTTGGAGATCTTGCTAACACCTGCGCAGTGCATTCGGAAAGTATTCAGACTCCTTCACTTTTTCCACATTTTGTTACGTTACAGACTTATTCTATAACACCCCATAATGACAAAGCGAAAACTGGTTTTTAGAAACGTTAGCTAATTTATTACAAATAAAAAACAGAAATACCTTATTTACATAGGTATTCAGACCCTTTGCTATGAGACTCTTAATTGCGCTCAGGTGCATCCTGTGTCCATTGATCATCCTTGAGATGTTTCTACAACTTGATTGGAGTCCACCTGTGGTAAATTCAATTGATTGGACATGATTTGGAAAGGCACACACGTCTATATAAGGTCACACAGTTGACAGTGCATGTCAGAGCAAAAACCAAGCCATGAGGTGGAAGGAATTGTCCGTTGAGCTCCGAGACAGGATTGTGTCGAGGCACAGATCTGGGGAAGGGTACCAAAACATTTCTGGAGCATTGAAGGTCCCCAAGAACACAGTGGCCTCCATCATTCTTAAATGGAAGAAGTTTGGAACCACCAAGACTCTTCCTAGAGCTGGCCGCCCGGCCAAACTGAGCAATCAGGGGAGAAGGGCCTTTGTCACGGAGGTGACCAAGAACCCGATGGTCACTCTGACAGAGCTCCAGAGTTCCTCCGTGGAGATGGGAGAACCTTCCAGAAGGACGACCATCTCTGCAGCACTCCACCAATCAGGCCTTTATGGTAGAGTGGCCAGACGGAAGCCACTTCTCAGTAAAAGACACATGACAGCCCACTTGGAGTTTGCCAAAAGGCACTTAAAGGACTCAGACCATGAGAAACAAGATTCTCTGGTCTGATGAAACCAAGATTGAACTCTTTGGCCTGAATGCCAAACATCACATCTGGAGGAAACCTGGCACCATTCCTACGGTGAAGCATGGTGGTGGCAGCATCATGCTGTGGGGATGTTTTTCAGCGGCAGGGACTGGGTGACTAGTCAGGATCGAGGGAAAGATGAACAGAGCAAAGTACAGAGAGATCCTTGATGATAACCTGCTCCAGAGCGCTCAGAACCTCAGACTGGGGTGAAGGTTCACCTTCCAACAGGACAACAACCCTAAGCACACAGCCAAGACAACGCAGGAGTGGCTTCGGGACAAGTCTCTGAATGTCCTTGAGTGGCCCAGCCAGAGCCCGGAATTGAACATCTCTGGAGAGACCTGAAAATAGCTGTGCAGCAACGCTCCCCATCCAACCTGACAGAGCTTGAGAGGATCTGCAGAGAAGAATGGGAGAAACTCCCCAAATACAGGTGTGCCAAGCTTGTAGCGTCATACCCAAGAAGACTCAAGGTTGTAATCGCTGCCAAAGGTGCTTCAACAAAGTACTGAGTAAAGGGTCTGAATACTTATGTAAATGTGATATTTCAGGGTTTTTTAAAAAATATACATTTGCAAACATTTCTAAAAACCTGTTTTTGCGTTGTCATTATGTGTTTAGATTGATGAGGGAGGAAAAAACAATTGAATCCATTTTAGAAAAATGCTGTAACGTAACAATGTGAAAAAAGTGAAGGGGTCTGAATACTTTCCGAATGCACTGTATAAATTGTGTTAGGCCAGTCCTAAAGTAAGGAAGGGTGCGGTGCATCTGTAGAGTATTTGAACAGGGCCATTATCCTCATCAGCCCTCTCAACAGCATTATGTACAGGTACCTCGTTTGTTTTCTACATACAGTATAACACAGTTCATTCTCACTCCATTCAGAAAACACTCTTACACTTTGAGTGATCAAATCAAAAACAAAGATTTCATGAGAGGGGAAACATGAAAAGGATTAAAACAACGGATAATGAAATGAGAGGAATGAAGAAAGTAAAGTCTAGAAACCAAAAGAGAGCAAAACAAGTTCAAGAGTCGGTAAGGTTCTAATCAATGCGTTCATATCTGAAGTGGAAACGTAATGGGCGAAAAATAAATACTTTACAGACATACAAATCTATAACTTGACCTAATGCACAGGTTTAGAAATGGTTGTCGATTACTGTTTAATGGCACTCTTTACACTGGCAGTTTAAAAATGTATAACCTGACTCCATTAAGTCATCGTGGCCATGACACATTGTTGTTAATCCGTGTTCAAAGACTATAGTTTACTCAAGTAAATGACCAACAGCGAAACAAAAACAAGTGCTGTTACTTAAAATGTACATAATCGAAACAGAATAGCTTTTTCATGGTCATTGTAAAAAGTGAAATATTTGTTATTACAGTTATTTGTTTACAACAAAGCAGGAAGTGTATCCCTTTCGTTTGAGAAATCTGTCACAGCACACCTTTGTACATTACACTTAAGGTCAAAGCACTGTTCAAACAAAGCAGTGGTGTAAAGTACTTAAGTAAAAATACTTTAAAGTACTACTTAAGTAGTTTTTTGTGGTACCTGTACTATACTTTACTATTTATATTTTTGACTACATTTACTTCACTACATTCCTAAAGAAAATAATGTACTTTTTACTCCATACATCTTTCCTGACACCCAAAAGTACTTGTTACATAGTGAATGCTTAGCAGGACAGGAAAATGGTCCACTTATCAAGAGAACACGTGGTCATCCCTACTGCCTCTTATCTGGCGAACTCACTAAACACAAAGGCATCATTTGTAAATGATGTCTGAGTGTTGGAGTGTGCCCCTGGCTATTCGTAAATGTTAGAAACAAGAAAATGGTGCCGTCTGCTTTGCTTAATATAAGGAATTTGAATTTATTTATACTCTTACTTTTGATAATTAAGTATATTTAGAACCAAATACTTTTGGACTTTTACTCAAGTAGTATTTAACTGGGTGACTTTCACTTTTACTTGAGTAACTTTCTATTAAGGTATCTATACTTTTACTCAAGTATGACAATTGGGTACTTTTTCCACCACTGAAACAAAGTGACTAGACAGCAACAGGTTAATAGGTAGATTAGCTTCGCAGAATGGTGTTAGGGCAGCGTTTCCCAAAATTGGTCTTCGGGACCCCCCCGGGTGCACGTTTTGGTTTTTGCCCTAACACTACACATCTGATTCAACTAATCAAAGCTTGATGATCAGTAGGTTATTTGGATCAGCTGTGTAGTGCTAGGGAAAAAACCTAAACGTGCAGCCCTTGGGCTCCCAAGGACCGAGCTTGGGAAACCCTGTGTTATGGTCAGACTTAACGCTACCCTCAGGAGAATAGATGAAAGGAGGAATGAAATGTGGTCTGGTTCCCATAACCTGCCTGCCCTCTGGTCCTATCATTACACTGCATCATATCCTGTTTCGAAAACCAGTCCTACTGGGCCATTATCCTGACATAAACAGGAAGTGAATAGTGAATTTTTTCTATCGGTTTTCACTCTATTGAACAAACCCCAAGTGGTCCTCTCCACTCCAATTGGCTAGAACGACATGAGTGTGCTGATGTCCATGTTGTCTGTGTAATGTAATGCCTTTGTAATGATGTGCAAATAACAATAATGAATAAACCTATCTGTAACCAAACGCAAACTAAGGAAAATAATTTAATTGGTCTTCCGTGCAAAAATATTGTACTATTTCATACCGTCATGATATCAAAAACAAATCAAACGTTTTAAATCAAATGAAATGCTTAGCTGAAAAATAAAAGTACTTACTCATCAGAGCTAGTAATCCTGATTTAATCTGATGTCGTTATGAAAATAAAAAAGACTTCCATGAGAAAATGATCTACTTTGTGGAACAATCCATTAGTTCTCCATAATCTCTTACAGCTACAGTACTTGACTAAGGTTAGTGCCTTTAAAAAAAAGAGAAGAAAACAACAGGAAAACATTATTATACAAAACAAACTCCTTAAAATGGTCCAACTAAAAAATAACGACCCAAGTTTAAAACTGTTTGGCACCGACGGTATCCATCCGATGAGAGGCAACCAGTGCCTTTTACTAATTACCACTGTAAACCAGTTGTAAAGTAGCTAGCTAGTATTCATGTAGCGTTATACTGTTAATATCTCAGTTATTTCAATAAGTGTAGTGCATGTCAGGCATCTGGGGAGATGATACTCAATCCCTGGTATAATATCTATTGTGGTCAGTACTAATGTCATTTTGATGCAGGCTTTTCCGTAGGCAGCTCTATTCCCATCCTGGGTCCTTCTAGGTATGAAGATGGCGATGATGTCATGGCGTGTCCCGCCACTTTACGGATGGGGATGGAGGTAGCCGTTGTCACTTGACAGCGGATGGCGTTGACGGATGGTGGTGGTCCTCTGGTGTGTGTGTGTGTGTGTGTGTGTGTGTCTAGACTAGTAGGCGGAGCAGGAAGGACAGGCCGGCCCCGATGGAGAGGCCCAGCGCCAGGAAGAAAGTCATCAGGGCCCCTGCCGTCTCTGCATCTTTGGGAGCCACCAACCTGGAAGGAGACGGAGAGAGAGGAGAGAGAGACAGGGGTGTATTCATAAGCATACTGTAGCAAAATGATTTACAATGAAAAAAACTAAACAAGTGTTTCTTATTGGACAAATTCGGGTAGGCCCCTTCCGGTTTCTGCCCTTTTGGTTCCTATTGAATATACCCCAGATATAGAGTAGGTTTTGTTGTGGTGTTACAGTCGTAACAAGGAAGTTGGCATGGGGTAGAAAGTGTGGTTGGGTGACAGAAACAGTATGACAGGTGACAGAGAGAATTCCAGAGTGTGTGTGTGTGGGAGAGAAGTGTTGACAAGAACTTGATTAAACAGAGTGACAAACCATGACAATTAGATTGGAGGAGTCAATATGTGCATAACTGACATAATGTTATGACAGTGGACTGTGACGTATGGTGTGTGTGTGTTACTTCTACTCACTGTGGGGCGTAGGACATGGACAGGCAGACGCAGTAGCCGCTGGACAGGGAGAAGAGCGTCATGATGAAAGCGAAGGCAGCGTCGTGGGAGAAGAGGACGGGGAGGTAGGAGCGGCTCTGGACGTTACACAGCATCAGTAGAGGAACAAACACCACCCTGGAGACCACCAGCCCTGGGAACAGACGACTCTCCTTGGGGGGCTGTGGTACACATACAGAGAGAAATGTTACTGATATACAAGGTTTTATAGACACAATAAAATAATTTTATAATAATAACTAAATGTAATACTAATAACTAAAACTTTCATTCTGGGAAAGAAAGTGAAGGATTATAAAACACTGAGAAACTTAGGTTGTATCATAAATCAAATCCATTGTGATCCTATGAAATGTGTAATAAAATGACATTCATCCACAGAGATGAAATGAGATCAGACACCTACCCACTGGACCAAGGTGGTGACGGTTCTGCCGATCCAGTCACACACGTTGAAGATGAGGAAGCAGCACACAGAGATGAAATAGGGTTCTGATGGTGGGAAGAGGGAGAGAGGTGATTAATAGGAGTTTTAAGGCTCATGACATGCATATTAAACATACAGCATACATATCTACACTCTTAGAAAAAAAGGTGCTATCTACAACCTAAAATGGGTTATTCGGCTGTTCCCATAGGATAACTTTTTAAAGAACCCTTTTTGGTTACAGGTATAAAAGGGTTCTACCTGGAACCAAAAAGGGCTCTACCTGGAACGAGAAAGTGTTCTCCTATGGGGACAGCCGAAGAACCCTTTCGAAACCGATTGTTCTAAAAGTGTATACATACCCCATTTCCCAGGGTATTTGGTCTTGACGTCCACAGTGACGGCGGGGAACACAGCGAGAGTGACGGTGAAGACAAAAACTACACAGAACGCCATCACCCATATCTGAAGAGAGACAGAGAGAAATATGGTGGAAGCTCTCTCTAGACCTTAAACTACTCTGGAGCTTTTAAATCCATGTAGGGGAGTGAACAAGTCCACACTTCAGAAAAGGGTAGGGATTGGACCTCAACTATAGACCAGAGTCATTACAGTGGGTATAGAAATGTCACCAGCCTGAAATGAAAACACTTTTTTTTTAAAATCAGACTTTTCCCGGATTTATTTACCCACAATATCCAAGTAATAAAAAAATTAACTGAAAATTAATTATAATTAAAACAGTAAAATACCCTATTTGGATAAGTGAACACCCCCCTTAGAATTGCAATTGCAAACTTGCTGAGGTATAACCAACCACCTTCCAGATCAAAAATCAAGCTAATTGGCTTCCATCTGTGATCAATTGTAGTGACTTTGACTAGTTCAGAATAAAAGCAGTTGTTCATATAGGACTCCACTGCTTAGTAGTGCAATTCAAAGCAAAGAATCCACTATGGGCAGAATGGTACTTTCAAAGGATCTAGGAGATAAAGTTGTGGAAAGGCACAAGTCAGGGGATGGATATAAAAAGATTTCAAAGGCTTTGTCTATCCCTCGGAGCACAGTTAAGACCATTTAAGAAGTGGAAGAAGTATGACACCACCCAGACCCTGCATAGATCAGGCCGTCCCTCCAAACTGGATGACCGGGCAAGCAGGAGACTAATCAGAGAGGCTACCAAGAAGCCAATGGCGACTTTGAAGGAGCTCCAGGCCTTTATTTCATAGGCTGGTCAATGTGTGCATGTGACCACAATATCACAATCGCTCCAAAAATCTGGCCTCTATGGGAGGGTGGCAAGAAAAAAAACACTCCTAAAAAATGGCAACATCAAGTCTCGTTTGAGCTTTGCCAAAAAGCACATTGTAGATTCCGAGGCCAAGTGGCAAAAGGTGCTGTGGTCAGATGAGACCAATATTGAACTTTTTGGCCTGAATGCAAAACGATATGTCTGGCAAAAACCCAATACATCTTTCCCACCCAAAAGAACACCATGCCTACAGTAAAGCATGGCGGTGGCAGCGTCCTGTTGTGGGGGTGTTTCTCTTCAGCAGGGACTGTCAGGATAGAAGGGAAAATGGACAGTGTAAAATACTGACAGATTCTTGAGGAGAACCTGCAGCCCTCTGCCAGGAAGTTGAAAATGGGAAGATGGTTCACGTTTCAACATGACAATGACCCAAAGCACACCGCCAAAGCAACCATACAGTGTCTGAAGGACAATAAGGTGAATGTCCTTGAGTGGCCTAGTCAGAGCCCCGACCTAAATCCCATCGAGAATCTGTGGAATGACTTGAAGAGTGCAATCCATGAGCAGTCACCAAGCAATTTGACTGAGCTTGGACAATTCTGCAAGGAAGAATGGGCAAATATTGCAGTCTAGGTGTGCAAAGTTAGTAGAGACGTATTCAAAGAGACTCATGGCTGTAATTCAAGCAAAAGGTGGTTCCACCAAGTATTAACTCAGGGGGGTGTTCACTTATCCAAATAGGGTATTGTACTGTTTTAATTGTAATTAATTTTCAGAGTTTTAAATTTTTTATTTTTAACTTAGATATTGTGGGTTACCGTGTGTAAATAAAGCTGGAAAAAGTCTGATTTTATGTTTTCATTTCAGGCTGTAAGGCAACAAAAGGTGAACATTTTGAAAGGGGGTGTTGACTTTCTATACTGTATTTAGAAAATAAAAAATCCATAAATATATGACCGCTATAGAGCCAGCTGAGTAACAACAGAGGTCAGCATTACCTTTTTAAACACCTCCATGATGGTGGACTTCCTATCCCTGTCCTCAGCCTGCTCCAGGGTTAAGAAGGCCTGCTTGGGACTGGCCCCAGCCCCCTCTACATCCACCTCTTCGCCGCTGGCACCCCCATTGGCCAATGAGTCATTGGCGTCGCCATACAGATTGCCGTTCTCCGCCGTGACACTCTCTGTCACTGGAGGAAGGGGAAAGATTTCAGGGAAAAAAGGTCAACTTGACCTAACATTGACCATTCAACAGGCAGAGGTAAATGTGTGTGGGAGTGATGGCAGATGTCACTATAAAGGGAGGGAGGGACGGACACTAGTTTCTGTGGCCCACCAGACTACTACATTATCTGTTAAGAATACCGCCAGGAGTTTTGCCTCACCCCTTGACCTCACCAGGAAAAACTGGACCAAGCTATAGCTGAATTACTGTAGTCCCTAATTAGAAGGAGAGGATGAAAACCAGAAGTGTTTTTCGGCCCTCCAGGACCGACATTGAACAGCCCAGGCTTTCCTAGACCTTTGTTAATTTCCATGGAAACATCTATTGACGTTAACAGGAGAGTGATGGGGTGGTTTAATAGTGTCTGATCTGTAAATGTCCCACAGGGCAGCTCTTTGTCTGGGAGAGGTTGCTGCACTAATTGGATAAATGTGAATAAACTGGGCTAATGGGATAATGATCTGTTGAATCAGTTCAATTCAGACCATGGCCTGTATGTATCAAGCGTCTTAGAGTAGGAGTTCTGATTTAGGACCAGTTTTACCTTCTAGATCACAATGAAGACGATTACATGGACGGGGGGGACCTGAACCTAAATCAGCACTCCTACTCTGAGACACTTGATACATATAACCAATGTTCCCACTAAGCTGCGCGAGGGCGCGCATTAGCCCGAGACTGTCGCACAGCTCCCCCGGGACAGCTGAACAGAAGAAAGCAGAAGAAATATCAGCCCATGGAGAGAAGCTTGAGAGAGTTTTCCCTGTTAGTTAACACTATCAACGTTTCCCTTCACTGTGGCAATTGTGATAGAATCGACGCAATATTAGCCACTTTAAATGCAACATACTGAAACAAAACGAACTATGCAAGACTTAGCATGCAAAACTATTAAAGAGATGTTGTTGTAGGCAGAACACATCCGAGTAGGATTCTATTGCTTTGACGCGCAGTACTCAGCCCCTACTCTACACAGACCGGCGCGGCATAACCAAATCAGAGCTGCAGTAGGCCTATATGCAAATAGACCATTGCCATATATGGATCTGTGCCATTTACTTTGAACTGGACTGTTTACAGCATGAGCGGTCAGTAGATGCACTTGTTTTGAGATCAAAGCGAGAGCTGCATGTAGCCAGGTGTGCACATTGTTAATATCCTTAGCTAGTTAGTGAGTTATTAGCCCAGTTATTGATAATGTGTAGTCAGCAATAGGGGAGTGATTTCTTTCTACAAGAGCACAAAACTCTGAGTCAGGTAAAGAGCTTTTTCTTGTCTTAAAGGGGCAATGTTGTATTTTGAGACAGGCTTGAATAAGCTAAGTAGCCAATAGGAAGAGGGTAGCATAATTTGTCTGATTCTCTGTAATAATGGTATGGGAATAATAATGTATAATATTTTGTAAAGTGGTTTCTTGCATCAAACAACAACAACATTTTCAGTCACCTCCTTGTCTGAAGGACAAGTGGATAAACAGGTTAATGTCAAGCCCTGCATGTTTTTTTCAAAAGTTTCATGGAATGTAAACAGTGGCGATTTTAGCATGTAAATCTTAGTGGGGCAACAAAACAAAAACATGTTGGGGATGCACGCCAGCAAAGCCACTACACAACACAACACTAAACAATACATTATTGCATTATAACGGTGACAAACGGTGCCCACAAACTGTTAGGGCCTACATAAAGTGGATGGTCATTGGTGAGATATATAAGCACAAAATAATCCACATCTTTCACTATGAATCTCACAGCTTTCAGCAGCCTCACCTTTCAGCAGCTCATCTGTGGTCTCCACCTCATAACTCCTGCTCTTGTCCAAGTAGAACTGGGAAAACTCCTGGATGAGACCGGCGCAGAGGCCAAATGAGACAGACTGAACATTCCCTGAACACGAACACAGATTCCTTAGATAAAACATAGTCATACCATACTGCCATATGGTTAGCTACAGCCCTGGGGGATACAGGGTCTGTTCTGAGGCCCAACCTGTGGTATCTATCAGTGGTTCTATTACATTCTAGTCCTGTAGAGCTGAGCCACTCACCAAGCGAGGCAGTAGGAGGTAGCTAAGCAGAGTGATCAGGGTTCCTACGCACGGCGTGATGAAGTAACCCAACGCAGCCGTCTCAGGGTCCGTGTCACCTGTTACACACACACACACACACACAGGAAAGAGAAAGGAGAGGTCAGAAAACTACTTACAAGTGGAGTTCCAAAGGCCACATCATACTCAATTGTCTATCCTTTTTTTTTTTTTTTTGACAATTCAAAATACATAAAAATGTTACACCAGGCAAAATATACATATAGCATAACTTGAAGATATATAGATATGTACACGAAAAAGTCTAGAGACTTTTTCCATTGTGATCCTCTATTGTTTTGCAAGATAGGCATTCAATCATAGATAATGTTCAAATATCCATCTATACAAAGCAAATATACACACCTAACCTATGCCTTTGGAAAGTATTCAGACAACTTGACTTTTTCCACATTTTGTTACGTTACAGCCATATTCTACAATCTACACATAATACCCCATAATGACAAAGCAAAAACAGGTTTTTAGATTTAAAAAAAAAATATATATATATATATCTAATTTACATAAGTATTCAGACCCTTTACTCAGTACTTTGTTGAAGCACCTTTGGTAGCGATTACAGCATCGAGTCTTCTTGGGTATGACGCTACAAGCTTGGCACACCTGTATTAGGGGAGTTTCTCCCATTGTTCTCTGCAGATCCTCTCAAGTTCTGTCAGGTTGGATGGGGAGCGTTGCTGCAAAGCTATTTTCAGGTCTGTCCAGAGATGTTCGATCGGCTTCAAGTCCGGGCTCTGGCTGAGCCACTCAAGGACATTCAGAGACTTGTCCCGAAGCCACTCCTGCGTTGTCTTGGCTGTGTGCTTAGGGTCGTTGTCCTGTTGGAAGGTGAACCTTCACCCCAGTCTGAGGTCCTGAGCGCTCTGGAGCAGGTTATCATCAAGGATCTCTCTGTACTTTGCTCCGTTAATCTTTCCCTCAAACCTGACTAGTCTCCCAGTCCCTGCCCCTGAAAAACATCCCCACAGAATGATGATCACCGTAGGGATGGTGCCAGGTTTCCTCCAGACGTGACACTTGGCATTCAGGCCAAAGAGTTCAATCTTGGTTTCATTGGACCAGAGAATCTTGTTTCTCATGGTCTGAGAGTCTTTAGGTAACTTTTGGCAAACTCCAAGCGGGCTGTCATGCACCTTGTACTGAGGAGTGGCTTCTGTCTGGCCACTCTACCATAAAGGCCTGATTGGTGGAGTGCTGCAGAGATGGTTGTCCTTCTGGAAGGTTCTCCCATCTCCACACAGGAACTCTGGAGTTCTGTCAGAGTGACCATCGGGTAGTCAGACCATCCTGGTGGAGATGGCTGTAACGTAACAAAATGTGGAAAAAGTAAAGGGGTCTGACTACTTTCCGAAGGCACTGTATATACAAAAGTATGTGGACACTCCTTCAAATTAGTGGATTTGGCTTATTTTCAGCCACACCTGTTGCTGACAGGTGTAAAAAAATCGAGGATACAGCCATGCAATCTCCATAGACAAACATTGGCAGAATGGCCTTACTGAAGAGTTCAGTGACATTCAACCTCAGTGACATTCAACCTTTCCAACAAGTCAGTTCGTCAAATTTTTGCCCTGCTAGAGCTGCCCCGGTCAACTGTAAGTGCTGTTATTGTGAAGTGGGAATGTCTAGGAGCAAAAATGGCTCATTCGCAAAGTGGTAGGCCACACAAGCTCATAGAACAGGACCGCCGAGTGCTGAAGTGCATAAGAATCGCCTGTCCTCAGTTGCAACACTCACTACCGAGTTCCAAACTGCCTCTGGAAGCAACGTCAGCACAAGAACTGTTCGTCGGGAGCTTCATGAAATGGGTTTCCATGGCCGAGCAGCCGCACACAAGCCTAAAATCACCATGCGCAATGCCAAGCATCGGCTGGAGTGGTGTAAAGCTCGCCGCCATTGGACTCTGGAGCAGTGGAAACGCGTTCTCTCGAGTGATGAATTCGCTTCTCCAGCAAAGGTAACCTGCCTAAATGATTACCGCCCCGTAGCACTCACATAGGTCGAATTGAAGTGCTTTGAAAGGCTGGTCATGGCTCATATTAACACCATCATCCTGGAAACCCTAGACCCACTCCAATTCGCATACCGCCCCAACAGATCCACAGATGATGCTATCTCAATCGCACTTCACACTGCCATTTCCCACCTGGACAAAAGGAACACCTATGTGAGAATGCTATTCATTGACTACAGCTCAGCATTCAACACCATAGTGCCCTCAAAACTCATCACTAAGCTAAGGACCCTGGGACTAAACACCTCCCTCTGCAACTGGATCCTGGACTTCCTGATGGGCCGCCCCCAGGTGGTAAGGGTAGGCAACAACACATCCGCCACGCTGATCGTCAACACTGGGGCCCATCAGGGGTGCGTGCTTAGTCCCCTCCTGTAGTCCCTGTTCACCCACTACTGCGTGGCCAAACCCGACTCCAACACCATCATTAAGTTTGCTGACGACACAACAGTGGTAGGCCTGATCACCGACAACGATGAGACAGCCTATAGGGAGGAGGTCAGAGAACTGGCAGTGTGGTGCCAGGACAACAACCTCTCTCTCAATGTGAGCAAGACAAAGGAGCTGATCGTGGAATACAGGAAAAGGCGGCCCAAACAGGCCCCCATTAACATCAACAGAGCTGTAGTGGAGCGGGTCGAGTGTTTCAAGTTCCTTGGTGTCCACATCACCAACGAACTATCATGTTCCAAACACACCAAGACAGTTGTGAAGAGGGCACGACAACACCTTTCCCCTCAGGAGACTGAAAAGATTTGGCATGGGTCCCCAGATCCTCAAAAAGTTATACAGCTGCACAAGTGAGCATCCTGACCGGTTGCATCACCGCCTGGAATGGCAACTGCTCAGCATTTGACCATAAGGCGCTACAGAGGGTAGTGCCTACGGCCCAGTACATCACTGGGGCCAAGCTTCCTGCCATCCAGCCCCTATATACTAGGCGGTGTCAGAGGAAGGCCCCAGAGATGGTCAAAGACTCCAGTCACCCAAGTCATACACTGTTCACTCTGCTACCGCATGGCAAGCGGTATCCGGAGTGCCAAGTGTAGGACCAAAAGGCTCCTTAACAGCTTCTACCCCCAAGCCACTACTGAATAATTAATCAAATGGCCACCCAGACTATTAACATTGACCCCCCTGCTGCTACTCGCTGTTTATTATCTATGCATAGTCCCTTTACCCCTACCTACATGTACAAATGACCTAGACTAACCTGTACCCCCGCACACTGACTCGGTAACTGTACCCCCTGTATATAGCCTTGTTACTGTTATGTTATTGTGTTACTTTTTATTTAAAAAATTACTTTAGTTTATTTAGTAAATATTTTGAACTGCATTGTTGGTTAATGGGCTTGTAAGTAAGCATTTCACGGTAAGGTCTACACCTGTTGTATTCGGCACAAGTGAAAAATAAAATTTGATTTGATTTGACCATCTGGACTTCGGACGGATGAATCTGGGTTTGGCGGATGCCAGGAGAACGCTACCTGCTCGAATGCATAGTGCCAACTGTAAAGTTTGGTGAAGGAGGAATAATGGTCTGGGGCGGTTTTTCATGGTTCAGTCTAGGCCCCTTAGTTCCAGTGAAGGGAAATCTTAACACTACAGCATACAATTATTTTCTAGACGATTCTGTGCTTCCAACTTTGTGGCAACAGTTTGGGGAAGGCCCTTTCATGTTTCAGCATGACAATGCCCCCGTGCACAAAATGAGGTCCTTTTAGAAATGGTTTGTTGAGTTCGGTGTGGAAGAACTTGACTAGCCTGCACAGAGCCCTGACCTCAACTCCATCGAACACCTTTGGGATTAATTGGAACGCAGACAGCGAGCCAGGCCTAATCGTCCAACATCAGTGCCCTACCTCACTAATGCTCTTGTGGCTGAATGGAAGCAAGTCCCTGCAGCAATGTTCCAACATGTAGTTGAAAGCCTTCCCAGAAGAGTGGAGGCTGTTATAGCAGCAAGAGGGGGACCAACTCCATATTAATTACCATGATTTTGGAATAATTCAGCCACTGAGCATCTCTGACGTGAGTTGTGCATGTTTCTTTCCAAGTAGTTCTTTGTATATTTGTGGGTTCTAGATATTTATTTGTGTGTGTGACTCACTGGCTATGGAGACCAGCATGGCGATAGCAGCGAAGGTGCCGGCCAACCCCTGGCCACTCATGAACACAGCACTGTACTTCTGAGGCAGCAGACCCACCAGGCCAAACAGACTGCCCTGTAACACCGCTCCAAACGCTATAAGGATAGAGTGAGAGAGAGAGAGAGAGAGAGAGAGAGCGAGAGAGAGAGAGAGAAAGAGAGAGAGACACAGAGAGAGAGACAGAGACAGAGACAGAGACAGAGAGAGAGAGAGAGAGAGAGAGAGAGGAGAGAGAGAGAGAGAGAGAGAGAGAGAGAGAGAGAGAGAGAGAGAGAGAGAGAGAGAGAGAGAGAGAGAGAGAGAGAGAGAGTTATTGATATAGCGTGCACACACACACACACAACACCCAGTCACACACACACATCTTACTCAGACACACACATACACACAATTCCACCCACACATACAACCTGATTCCCCCCCGCCACCAACCACACAATACCCAGTCAAACACACACCTTACTCAGCCACACACACAATGATTCTCCCCCCACCCACCCACCCACCCACCCACAAAATCATGTCCTACTCACAGTTGATGAACCAGATGGTAGCCATGGTAACAGAGAAGAAGCGGTCCTCCTCCATCGGGATCTTGACCAGGATGGCAGTGAGGATGAAGAGGATGAAAATGAAGACCAGGCTACCCGCTATCCGCACCATCTCTGATATCCTACGCACAAACACACAAAACGTTAGTTCTCAATCTCACTGGATTAGAGCGTAGCAAGTTACACATACAGAGTATGACATATTTTTCTATAAAGTAAAGCCCCCCTAAAATCCACTGTATTGCAAAGCAAATAGGTTTTTTTGCACCTTTTTGCAGTTGAATAAAATGGCCAACTCAAAAGGGTTGTTTACACACACACTAGATCATCAGCCAAGTGTTCAATAGAAGGGTGTTGCTTGGAAGGGCATTTGGATGACTTGTAAACCTGAGAGAAGAAGTGTTGTCTCACCGCTGATAGAAGAAAGAGTTGAGCAGAGTGCAGAGCAGCAGGGGGAGCTGGGACAACAGAGTCATCCAGTTGTTGAAGTAGTACTCTTTGTTGGAGACCACCGTGCCGTTGCTCCGTTCGGTCTTGTTGAGGCGGCTGTTGAAATACTAAATGACAGAAGAGACAGAGATAAATAATCATATTTGCCATTTTGTCATTCTGTCCCTGAGCAAGGCGGTTAACCCACTGTTCCCCGGGCACCGATGACATGGATGTCGATTAAGGCAGCCCCCCGCACCTCTCTGATTCAGAGGGGTTGGGTTAAATGCGGAAGACACATTTCAGTTGAATGCATTCAGTTGTGCAACTGACCAGGTATCCCCCTTTCCCTTTCAACCAAATGTTGGTTTAGGTGGCCCCAGCAGGAATCGATCCCACGATCCTGGCGTTTGCGCTACCAACTGAGCCACACAAGACGCATGAGACTACCCAGTTTAGTTTACATTAACAATCAATACATTTTTTCCCACGGGGGGCCAGTATGAAAAATGTATGCACTCACTAATTGTAAATCGCTCGGGATAAGAGCGTCTGCTAAATGACTAAAATGTCAATTGGATCACTAAAAATTAAAAATACGATGTTGTTTGTCACAAGTCACTCGTTCCAATACAAATAGGCCTATTCCTTAAGTAGTTATACAGAAGTGTAGGGTATACCAAGAATCAAAGCTTACCCTAGGGGAATGTTGTGGGGTTTGACGTTTTAATGTTCAGAGAGCTAGGCCTAAGAGTCTGTACACACACAACCTGGTCACATGGTTGACCACACAGCTACGTGGAACATTCATGTTATGTTTTAGAGTTAAGGGGGCCTCTAACCACACAGCGAGCGGTTAACTTCAACATACCGGTACCTAGTGACCTAGAAAACACCAGGTGGCCAGTCACCAGGGTTGGGAAGTAACTGATTACATGTACATTACCCATTTACATTTTAGTTATTTAGCAGACGCTCTTATCCAAAGCGACTTACATGATCAATTAGGGTGAAGTGCCTTGCTCAAGTGCATATCAACAGATTTTTAAGCTAGTCGACTGGGATTCGAACCAGCATCGGTTGCCGGCCCAATGCTGTTAACCACAATGCTACCTGCCACCTGCCACACATACAGTACCAGTCAAACGTTTGGACACACCTACTCATTCAAGGGTTTTTCTTTATTTTTACTATTTCTTACATTGTAGAATAATATTGAAGACATCAAAACTATGAAATAACACATATGAAATCATGTATTAACCAAAAAAAGTGTTAAACAAATCAAAATATGTTTTATATTTGAGATTCTTCAAATAGCCACCCTTTGCCTTGATGACAACTTTGCACACTCTTGGCATTCTCTCAACCAGCTTCACGCGGAATGCTTTTCCAACAGTCTTGAAGGAGTTCCCACATATGCTGAGCACTTGTTGGCTGCTTTTCCTTCACTCTGCCATCCGACTCATCCCAAACCATCTCAAATGGGTTGAGGCCAGGGGATTGTGGAGGCCAGGTCATCTGATGCAGCACTCCATCACTCTCCTTCTTGGTAAAATAGCCCTTACACAGCCTGGAGGTGTGTTGGGTCATTGTCCTGTTGAAAAACAAATGATAGTCCCACTAAGCCCAAACCAGATTGGATGGCGTATCGCTGCAGAATGCTGTGGTAGCCATGCTGGTTAAGTGTGCCTTGAATTCTAAATAAATCACAGACGGTGTCACCAGCAAAGCACCCCCACACCATAACACCTCCTCCTCCATGCTTTACGGTGGGAACTACACATGCGGAGATCATCCGTTCACCCACACTGCGTCTCACAAAGACACAGCGGTTTGAACCAAAAATCTCAAATTTTAACTCCAGACCAAAGGACAAATTTCCACCGGTCTAATGTCCATTGCTCGTGTTTCTTGGCCCAAGCAGGTCTCTTCTTCTTATTGGTGTACTTTAGTAGTGGTTTCTTTGCAGCAATTCGACCACGAAGGTCTGATTCACACAGTCCCCTCTTAACAGTTGATGTTGAGATGTGTCTGTTACATGAACTCCGTGAAGCATTTATTTGGGCTGCAATTTCTGAGGCTGGTAACTAATGAACTTATCCTCTGCAGCAGAGGTAACTCTGGGTCCTCCTATCCTGTGGCGGTCCTCATGAGAGCCAGTTTCATTATAGCGCTTGATGGTTTTTGCGACTGCACTTGAAGAAACGTTCAAAGTTCTTGACATTTTCCGTATTGACTGACCTTCATGTCTTAAAGTAATGATGGACTGTCGTTTCTCTTTGCTTATTTGAGCTGTTCTTGTCATAATATGGACTTAGTCTATTACCAAATAGGACTATCTTCCGTATACCCCTCCTACCTTCCTCCCGGGGAAGGACTGCCCGTTCCATGATCTCGCCATCACGGTTGACAACTCCGCTGTGTCCTCCTCCCAGAGTGCGAAGAGCCTAGGCGTGACCCTGGACAACACCCTGTCGTTCTCCGCCAACATCAAGGCGGTGACCCGCTCCTGCAGGTTCATGCTCTACAACATTCGGAGAGTGCGACCCTGCCTACACAGGAAGCGGCGCAGGTCCTGGTCCAGGCACTTGTCATCTCCCGTCTGGAATACTGCAACTCGCTGTTGGCTGGCTCCCTGCCTGTGCCATTAAACCCCTACAACTCATCCAGAATGCCGCAGCCCGTCTGGTGTTCAACCTTCCCAAGTCTCCTCACTTTACCCCCCTCCTCCGCACACTCCACTGGCTTCCAGTTGAAGCTCGCATCCGCTACAAGACCATGGTGCTTGCCTATGGAGCAGTGAGGGGAACGGCACCTCTGTACCTTCAGGGTCTGATCAGTCCCTACACCCAAACGAGGACATTGCGTTCATCCACCTCTGGCCTGCTGGCTCCCCTTCCTCTGCGGAAGCACAGCTCCCGCTCAGCCCAGTCAAAACTGTTCGCTGCTCTGGCACCCCAATGGTGGAACAAGCTCCCTCACGACGCCAGGACAGCGGAGTCACTCACCACCTTCCGGAGACATTTGAAACCCCACCTCTTTAAGGAATACCTGGGATAGGATAAAGTATTCCTTCTAACCCCCCCCCCCCCCCCCCCAAATTGTAAAGTGGTTATCCCACTGGCTATAGGGTGAACGCACCAATTTGTGAGTCGCTCTGGCTAAGAGCGTCTGCTAAATGACGTTAATGTGCCCTTGAGCAAGGCACTTAACCCTAATTGCTCCTGTAAGTCGCTCTGGTTAAGATCTTGTCACAACACAACTGATTGGCTCAAACGCATTAAGAAGGAAATACATTCCACAAATTAACTTTTAAGAAGGCATACCTGTTAATTAATATACCATTTAGCAGACGCTTTTATCTAAAGCGACTTACAGTCATGCGTGCATATGTTTTTTGTGTATGGGTGGTCCCGGAGATCGAACCCACTACCCTGGCGTTACAAGCGCCGTGCTCTACCAGCTGAGCTACAGAAATGCATTCCAGGTGACTACCTCATGAAGCTGGTTGAGAGAATGCCAAGAGTGTGCAAAGCTGTCATCAAGGCAAAGGTTGGCTAATTGAAGAATCTCAAATATAAAATGTATTTTTTTAAACAATTTTTTGGTTACTACATGATTCCATATGTGTTATTTCATAGTTTTGATGTCTTCACTATTATTCTACAATGTGTAAAATAAAGAAAAACCCTTGAATGAGTAGGTGTGTCCAAACTTTTGACTGGTACTGTACAGTTACGTAAACACACATACAAACAGCATCGGACACTTAGGGCTAACTGCATACCACCCTGCATCGCACTGCTGGCTTGCCTCTGAAGCTAAGCAGGGTTGGTCCTGGATGGGAGACCAGATGATGCTGGAAGTGGTGTTGGAGGGCTAGTAAGAGGCACTCTTTTCTCTGGTAAAAAAAAAATGAAATATATATATCCCAATGCCCCAGGGCAGTGATTGGGGATGTTAAATGGGTGTCCTGACTCTCTGTGGTCACTAAAGATCCCATGGCACTTATCGTAAGAGTAAGGTTGTTAACCCCGTTGTCCTGGCTAAATTCCCAATCTGACCATCAAGGACACCTAATCATCCCCAGCTTCCAATTGGCTCCTCTCCCCTGTCACTATTCCCCAGGTCGTTGCTGTTAATGAGAATGTGTTCTCAGTCAACTTACCGGGTAAAATAACAGTTTTCAAAAACAACTTACTTTTCAAGTTAATTCCCTAAGAAGCCAATGTTCTACTTTGTGTGTTTGTATGATACAGTGTTGAACCTGAGCCAAAGTAGATCTGATCCTAGATCCGTCTAAAGTTTCCCAAAACAACCGATCTAGCATCAGATCTACCCTATAGCCTAACTGTAGCCTTTAAGGGGTTGAATAACTATCTGATCCTGGACCTGTGGTTATAGATGGATGATAGGTTTACCATGGAGGCGGTCATGAAGAAGTTCCATGGTAGCAGCGTCCCGACACCGAGGATGAAGAAGATGATCCCCACCAACCAGCCCCTGGGGAGGAAAAGATTAGAAACAAACAAGTCATTCATAGGTTATTGATGTGTATTTACCGTGTCATTTCTTTATAAATAGCAAGTAATTTATGTACCGTGAAATAAAGTGCTACCAGCCAGGGATCATTAGTGGATTTTATAAAAGTACATTGGAAATGTAATCTAGTCACTACTTTCATAGGTTGAAAAACAGTACAGAGTCCCTTTTCAGAAATGCATTACTTGACTGCCGTGAGGGTGATAAGCACAATATTGTTCGCGAACTGCAGACCCCCAAACTATTCGTTCTTGTGTTCGAGTTTGTTGAGCAGAGGCTGTGTATGTTTTGGTTCTACAAAGCGGTGTCCATCATTAAATTCAATAATCAATTAATTGCATTCATTCTTGCACCATGCGATCAATTATAGTTCTAAACATATTTTTCTTCTCTATGCAGTCTGCAGCATGATCTATTTTCCGATCATGCAGTTCAAACGAACGACTAAAATTAAGGAGTCACTCAGAAAAACGAATCATGACTCTCAAATCAGTAAAAAGGTAGACACTCACCTATCGCGTGGGGCGTCTGTCCGACCCTTCATCCTGTGCTAGGGGGTTCGGTTGAAACAAAAGAGAGGGGAACACGATCAACATCTAAAGACAGAGTAGATTTGTCTATCAGCTCTAAGCACTTTATTTACAGAATACAAATACAGGACATTTTCTACATACTAGCACATTTCTGCAAGGAGGAGAGGGAGCCATTCTCACCACAGTACTGCATGTCCAAGACCCACTGGATTGTAGCCTGTACTGCTAGTTGTGCAGTTAGCTGTGCTGAGATATCCACCCCTCTGCCAGTTCACAACTTCACACTCCATTTATTTAAATAGGAACAGTCTATAGAGCGCTTGGCAATAAGAGTCAAAGACAAGGCCCTTTTCTCCCTTTGTCTGTAGATTAAGGAAGAATTCTGAGTCCACTCCCTGTGTACATACTTGGTCCTGTATGCACACAAACGCATGGGCTCCGCACTCCGACCCACTAACACAAATGTAACACGAACAGAGCGAAAGGTGGAGAGTGATATTTCAATTCAGAATGTGTGTGTGTGAGAACATGTTTGGTATTCATGCATTCAACCCCTACGCTCATTGCTTTGTTACATGTCCTTTCACAGAGAGCAACATTCCTGCCAGGAGGCATGCGTTCACTAAGAACCAACCCTCGTTTTCAATTGATAACATTGTTTATTCATACACTTCCTTCGAAGTTCATACAAATGCATGGAAGTCAATGATAAATGATATAGTAATATACCTGAGGTAGGCCTATAGCTTGGCCATGCTGTGAATTTGTTTGTCTAACTACACTCTTAGAAAATCTAGAACCTTAAAAGGAGAACCCTTTGTAAAAACCCTTTTTGGTTGCAGGTAGAACCCTTTTGGGTTCCATGTAGAAGCCTTTCTACAGAGGGTTCTTCATGGAACCCAAAGGGGTTCTACCTGGAACCCAAAAGGGTTCTACCTGGAACCAAAAAGGGTTATCCTATTGGGACAGCCGAAGAACCATTTTGGATCCCTTTTTATCTAAGTGTAGACGACAAGCTTTAAGCAGTCAAGCAGAACTGATGAAACTGGGTAAATCGTGGACAATGCTACATTACGAAGGAGTGAGAGAGATCTGCTGTACCTCATCACCCAGAGAGAGGGTGATACAGCCAGAAGATCAAAAGAAACTCATGTACACAAGCACTGCCCCTGTGGCAATTTAAGAATTTCTAAGAAAATGTTTTAAATGATAAACCAGCAACTTGGAGACTGTGAGGATTGTAGTCTCAGTCTAGACTCAGACTAGAGGCGAAGAGTTGAAGGGTTCGGAAATAAAGTCGGAAAAAATGTTTAATAGGCTAATATTAGAATTCCTGAAAGAAACATGAGATAGCACCTAAATTATATCCTGAGGCTTCTTTAGAAAAAAAACTGAAACGAGCAACCAGATTCTGTGGCATGAAAGAGTCATTTCAGTAAAGTTGTCCGTTCAGTTGTCAACAGTTTATCAGGCTAGTTGCCATTTCAGTAAATTCAAGCCAAGTCACATAAGGTCATCATAGAAAGGTCATCCAAGGTGATGGTTTCACTGTGGCCAGTAGTATGTGATAACAGGCCTTGGGAAAGTTAGATGGAATCTGTCAAAAAAGAATGCCAAATATTACTCCCACATTCACATAACTTGTCATTGGCTACTGTCAAACATGTTTTGGGTGAAAATGAAATCCAAGCATACAATCAAATTAAATCACATTTGATTGGTCACATACACATATTTAGCAGATGTTATTGGGGGTGTAGTGAAATGCTTGTGTTCCTAGCTCCAACAGCACAGTAGTATCTAACAATTCACAACAATACACTGAAATCTAAAAGTAAAAGAATGGAATTAAGAAATATAGAAATATTAGGACCAATGTCAGAGTGGTATTGACTAAAATGAGTAAAGCAGTATGTAAACATTATTAAAGTGACCAGTGATTCCATGTCTATGTATATGGGCCAGCAGCCTCTAAGGTGCAGGGTTGAATAACCGGGTGGTAGCCGGCTAGGGATGGCTATTTAACAGTCTGATGGCCTTGAGATAGAAGCTGTTTTTCAGTCTCTCTGTCCCAGATTTGATGCACCTGTACTGACCTCGCCTTCTGGATGATAGCGGGGTGAACAGGCAGTGGCTTGTGTGGTTGGTGTCCTTGATGATCTTTTTGGCCTTCCTGTGACATCGGGTGCTGTAGGTGTCCTGGAGGGCAGGCAGTGTGCCCCCGATGATGCGTTGGGCAGACTGCACCACCCTCTGAAGAGCCCTGCAGTTGCCCTACCAGGCTGTGATACAGCCCGACAGGATGCTCTCAATTGTGCATCTGTAAAAGTTTGTGAGGGTCTTAGGGGCCAAGCTCAAGCTGCTGTTGCACCTTCTTCACCACACTGTCTGTGTGGGTGGACCATTTCAGATTGTCAGTGATGTGTATGCCGAGGAACTTGAAGCTTTCCACCTTCTCCACTGCGGTCCCGTCGATGTAGATAGGGGCGTGCTCCCTCTGCTGTTTTCTGAAGTCCACGATCAGCTCTTTCGTTTTGTTGATGTTGAGGGAGAGGTTATTTTCCTGGCACCACTCCGCCAGGGCCCTCACCTCCTCCCTGTAGGCTGTCTCGAACATTGTTGGTAATCAGGCATAGTACTGTTGTGTCGTCTGCAAACTTGATGATTGAGTTGGAGGCGTGCGTGGCCAGGCAGTCATGGATGAACAGGGAGTACAGGAGGGGGCTGAGCATGCACCCTTGTGGGGCCCCAGTGTTGAGGATCAGCGAAGTGGAGGTGTTGTTTCCTACCATCACCACCTGTGGGGCGGCCCGTCAGGAAGTCCAGGACCCAGTTGCACAGGACGGGGTTCAGACCCAAGGACCCGAGCTTAATGATGAGCTTGGAGGGTACTATGGTGTTGAAGGCTGAGCTATAGTCAATGAACAGCATTCTTACATACAGTGCATTCGGAAAGTATTCAGACCCCTTGACTTTTTCCACATTTTGTTACATTACAGCCTTGTCCTAAAATTGATTAAATTAGAAAAAACAGGGTTTTAGACTTTTTTGCTCAAATAAAATAAAGAAAATGTTGGCAAATGTTTTAAAAATAAAAAACAGAAATACCTTATTTACATAAGTATTCAGACCCTTTGCTATGAGACTCAAAATGGATTGATCATCCTTGAGATGTTTCTATAACTTGATTGTAGTCCACCTGTTGTAAAATCAATTAATTGTACATGATTTGGAAAGGCACACACCTGTATATACTGTATAAGGTCCCACAGTTGACAGAGCATGTTAGAGCAAAAACCAAGCCATGAAGTCGAAGGAATTGTCCGTAGAGCTCCGAGACAGGATTGTGTCGAGGCACAGATCTGAGGAAGGATACCAAAAAACGTTTTGGAACCACCAGGTGACCAAGAACCCGATGGTAACTCTGACAGAGCTCCAGAGTTCCTCCGTGGAGATGTGAGAACCTTCCAGAAGGACAACCGTCTCTAAAGCACTGCCACCAATCAGGTGAAAACCTGCGCTCAGGACCTTAGACTGAGGTGAAGGTTCACCTTCCAACAGGACAACGACCCTAACCACACAGCCAAGACAACGCAGGAGTGGCTTCGGGACAAGTCTCTGAATGTCCTTGAGTAGCCCAGCCAGAGTCCGGACTTGAAACTGATCGAACATCTCTGGAGAGACCTGAAAATAGCTGTGCAGCGACACTCCCCATCCAACCTGACAGAGCTTCAGAGGATCTGCAGAGAAGAATGGGAGACACTCCCCAAATACAGGTGTGCCAAGCTTGTAGCGTCATACCCAAGAAGACTCGAGGCTGTAATCGCTGCCAAAGGTGCTTCAACAAAGTACTGAGTAAAGGGTCTGAATACTTATGTAAATGTAATATTTCATTATTTGTTGTTTTTTTTTTTTTTTTTTGCAAAAAAAATATCTAAAAACCTGTTTTTGCTTTGTCATTATGGGGTATTGTGTGTAGGTTGATGAGGAAGAAAAACAATTTAATACATTTAAGAATAAGGCTGTAACATAACAAAATGTTGAAAAAGTCAAGGGGTCTGAATACTTGTAATTGGAGGTTTAAAAGCTCAATATAATCTGTTACAACATGTGTTCTATAAAAAAAATTATGGACTTTTGGATACATGATGAGACTTGGACAAAAGTGTTTTTCCTATGAACGGTAAGATAAAAGATAACATGACAATGGTCTACCAATCATCTCACAAGTCCTGCAGGTCTTCAGCTCCACTCATCTTTCCTGATTTTCATTTGCTTTTCCAACCCTTCCTCCGTTTAGCATTTTTCCATGACCAAATGAGAAAATGGACCATTGGGAAATGCCATTAGATTTGTGCCCAAAATCGTTAACTAAAAAATTGAGAAAAATCTGGGGTGGCAGGATACTAACGTTTCAGTGACTTGTTGTTCCCGAGATCAGTACACGGAAAGTCCTTAATACATTACATTATATGTACACTACCCCACACACAAAACAGAACAAACACATTGAACACAAAGAGCTAAACCTGAATCTTATCAAGCAATACTTACAATCCCAGCAATGTCATTGACTCTGGCACACAGGTTAATTGTTGTTACTAGAGTACACAGGGGTGGAGTGAAGGTGGGTGGATGAAGGTGGGTGGACAGAGGTTGAGTGAAGGTGGGTGGACAGAGGTGGAGTGAAGGTGGGTGGATAGAGGTGGAGTGAAGGTGGGTGGACAGAGGTGGAGTGAAGGTGGGTGGATAGAGGTGGAGTAAAGGTGGGTAGATGAAGGTGGAGTGAAGGTGGGTGGATAGAGGTGGAGTGAAGGTGGGTGGATAGAGGTGGAGTAAAGGTGGGTAGATGAAGGTGGAGTGAAGGTGGGTGGATAGAGGTGGAGTGAAGGTGGGTGGATAGAGGTGGAGAGAAGGTGGGTGGATAGAGGTGGAGAGAAGGTGGGTGGATAGAGGTGGAGTGAATGTGTGTGGATAGAGGTGGAGTGAATGTGGGTGGATAGAGGTGGAGTGAAGGTGGGTGGATAGAGGTGGAGAGAAGGTGGGTGGATAGAGGTGGAGAGAAGGTGGGTGGATAGAGGTGGAGAGAAGGTGGGTGGATAGAGGTGGAGAGAAGGTGGGTGGATAGAGGTGGATAGAGGTGGAGTGAATGTGTGTGGATAGAGGTGGAGTGAATGTGTGTGGATAGAGGTGGAGTGAATGTGGGTGGATAGAGGTGGAGTTAAGGTGGGTGGATAGAGGTGGAGAGAAGGTGGGTGGATAGAGGTGGAGTGAATGTGTGTGGATAGAGAGTAGGTGTAGCAGACCAGGGCCGTCAGAGCGGGGTTGGAAATATGCTGCTGCTCTGTGGTGAGGGAAGCAGGGCACTCAGGATCACCATGAACAGGACACCCTTTGTCCCCTGAATAAATAACATGTGTAGCGGTGAGCCTGAGCTGTTTCCTAGGAAGGCTCTGCCCTAAACTAGCCCTAGGTACCAATTCAACACCTCTAGAAGACACACTGGCAGCCTAGCAGCCACAGCCCGTAGCCTATTGGTAGGTAAATGACATTCATTTCAGTTATTTAAAGCCACGATTCTGAATGAGCAGGTTTGAAGCAGGATGTTTTCTATGCAAAATAGCCCGCCATCAAATTGAAATTATTATTATTGAAGATGTTTGAACAGCAGAACTACAAAGAGCTCTTTTCCAGTTTTCCCAAGCCTTTAATGTGTCATAGCAATGTGTAAATGTGTCATTACTCCCCCCACACCTTATCATATCAGCCTCCAGTAAGCCACAGGAAGCTGCTCCGTGTCTCTGAGCACCAACTGGCCTATGTGTTACTGTCATAACAAAAACAGAAAGATCAGGATTTCCATCTGTTCTAACGGTCTTTGTTTACATATCTAACATGATAAAATGGTGGAATTTTCTCAATTCGTCTCCATTGATAGATTTTTCAAATAAATTTAATCAAACAGCTCATTTGACGTATTAGGCCTATTTATTTAGGCTATACAGGGAGACAATTAAAAGAACCTAGATGTAAATATAGCCAATAATTTGAGCCCATGGCACGTGGTTTATGAACTGATACACAAAACGACGCTGGATTCAAAACTTAAACGTTTTTCTATATAAAATATTATATCATAGTTTTGATGTCTTTACTATTATTCTACAATGTAAAACATTTTAAAAATAAAGAAAAACTGTTGAATGAGTAGGTGTGTCCAACCTTTTGACTGGTACTGTATATATATTTACAAAAAAATCTATGGGGAATGGAAATTATGCAGACAATTACATTGATGGAAGCCACAATCTATCTGTGGGGTAGATTGTGATCTACCCCTTAAAAAAAAAAATGGGGCCCTTCTCAGTAGAACTGTAGATTTTCAGTGCTGAACATTTCCAGTTCGAAATCATATGGCAGAAACCAGTAGAAAATAAACCTGTCTGATCACCAAGAAGAGATGGCCTAAAGGCCACGCGGTTTATCACTTATCAGGGATTAGGAGTAATCCTCGACTGCATCAATCTTGGCCATGTGGTGTCTAGAAAGCAGCAATGTCGCATAGTGGCCTACAGCAATTCCCATTCAACATGATGAATATTCAAAGATAGCCTACGCATCCTTGGTGACGATTTCCATAAAGGAGTGAGCAAGCACTTCGTCATGGCGGATGATGTGACAGATTCCATTTGTAAAGGCTGACTGGCTGAATGACGACCATGAGGGCATGCGTTTTGGTACACCAGAAGAACATTCATTTCCAATGGAATGCTGCGTTGCAGCATTGCGTTGCAGAAGCAGTGCATTCTGTGTGGTGCATACTTTAGATTTATCGAATGTGTAGACGGCTTGACAGAAATGGTAGCAGAAGGTGAATGTTAAACTTTTGTTGCACACATGACTGGGAGTTTATACATGTGTGCGACTCTCTTTATTTGTTTTTGTAGCTCCCAGTTTATTCTCTGTTGGTCAGCACCTCTACACTAAGGGATGTTCTCTAGGTGTGCGACAGCTCGTGCTTTTTATATGACACGCAGGTTAAAATACCCAAATCAACTGTGAACCAACTCTATTCATTTGGGGACAGGTCGAAACACACATTAAACATTCATGGACATTTAGCTAGCTTGCTGTTGCTAGCTAATTTGTCCTGGAAAATAAACATTGGGTTGTTATTTTACCTGAAATGCATATGGTCATTTTTTCTTTAAATGTTAGTCATTTAGCAGACGCTCTTATCCAGAGCGACTTACAGTTTCATACTTTTTTCGTACTGGTCTCCCGTGGGAATCGAACCCACAACCCTGGCATTGCAAGCGCCATGCTCTACCAACTGGATTTTTTTAGAATTTTGACCCATGTTGAGTCTTACAAAATCATGTGTTCTCTACTCCAACTATTAATCCACAGATAAAAAGAGGAAACCTAGTTAGCTTTTAGTTTGTTTTTGATAAATCTCTCCTCCTTCTTCTTCTTCTGTGGACTTTATATGGCGGTGGGCAACCAACTTTAAGGTGCATTACCGCCACCAACTGGACACCTAGTTCATATTTTAATCACCCACCTGGGTACATGCTTGTAAAAACCAATGAGTAGCTTCGCACATGGGCTACGCAGACGCCCTTGACACACGCGAGCAGTTTGGATGAAATGATTGAATAACGTGTACATGTATTTTGCAATACTCAGGCACGCAATGCAGGCGGAATGGTTACCTGCCATTCATCAACACATATGGGCTGCCAACTTTTGAAGAAAGTTTTCCGTGAGATTTGCCATGTCAATTTCCTTGCCCACTGGCACAAACCCTAGAAGGGAAGACATTTAGGTTTTAAAGCTCATTTCCTGCTATTCTACACATTTTGACATGGCTTAGGCCTATGACCAGGGTGGAAAATAAAATAAAAACCACGTCAGATACTTTGAACATTAAATAAGCACTGAGAATTGGACGACTTTGTTACTTTTAGATTTTTGAGGGATGATATTGAAAGTATGCGAATATCTTTTATTTTTTAATGTTTAGGTTGTTTTACACGTTATTCAGACAGTACTGAACTGAGATGGGGAGACAGGCAAATGGTTGAAGGCCATTGTTAAAACATTTGGGAGGCGCATGGGGATGGAGTAATGAGCTAGATTTGGCCTCCACAAAGCATCCAGAGACTCCGCAATTGCGCCACACCCTCAGTACGCTCCGGAAGGCATTGCCAGAGCATGCATACATTATATTTAAGACATGACCATGTGTGAATTACAGCCTGCCTCCGTTGGCATATGAATTTTGAGCAAGTGCTCAGCCTAAAGATTTCGGGGAATGTGATTTTGAAAAAATACATTTACCTACAGCACATTTCCAATCATCTCATTTCACTAAACAACCCATTTGACAGTTGTAGCAGCCAACATTATTCTAGCAACATTATAAGAGGGCTGAGGCCCCTTCATCCCATCACAGAAATCGCGCAGCCAGGTGAACAAGAGCGGCCTGGTCGTGTCGCATCACCTAACGACCGATAATAAAGAAAACCCTCAAAAATTATGGACTGCTGACGGTTCACAAAATTCTATTCTAAAACAATTCATTGCTACAATGAAGTGAAACAATGTAACAATTAATCCCCGCCTTTCGTGTCAAACCGCGGTGTAGGCAAAAAGAGTCATGTCACTCCTACTAACCTTGCCGTGATGAGAAGTGCGGTAATCAGCTCAGTGTGTTTTCATTACTACGCAGCAGCAACAACAACAAAAAAGTCAAAGTCGTTGCTAATACCAAAGCGATAACATGTAACACGATAAATATAGCCTATCACTCCACGTGGCGCGAGCGCCAAATAGTTATGAATGGCTATGCTGCAGTAACTATTTTACCTACCGCGAAGACTAATGTTCATAATGTCCCCGATTCGGCGTTACACACACTGACGTATAAATAAGATGTTACACATACAACTTAGCTCACTGCTCGGATGCCCCTCCCCATGTCATCATGGCCTACTACTAGTTTAAGGTGAGAATGGGAGGGGTGCATTGCCTCCCCATAGCCTAAACACACAATAAGAAAATATGAAAACTTATGACATTATCCAAAACAGCAACAGATAAACTTTAGAGATCAATAAAAAACTAAACAAGTAGGCTGCAGTTTTAATAGCCTACATAGAGTACAGTAAGTAGAGTCCCACTCACATCTATTTTATATGGCTTACTATATATAATCTAATGAAATCAAAGATATGGTAATTGTGTACACAAGAACTAGGCACTTATTTATTAAGGCTAACTACCACCAAACTGAAGTACTACAAAGTGAAAATCTCTAATGTGTGCCTTTGTACAAAGATAGTCGAAGACCTCTGACTTTGGTTTCCTCATAAAGTTCCTCCAGTGCTTGAATTGTTTACTTGAGAATACCTAAATCTGATTTCTCTAGGATAGTCCTTCAGTTGTCTTCTTTTAATTGAAAGTCCATTCTGGGAAAAACATTTCCTCTGCCATTCCTCTGACTTCCTCAACAGTTGTCCGTTTTTGTCAACATAGAGGTGTCTTGTACCTCCGCTGTTAACCATCCTGACATGCTTACATTACATTTACATTTTAGTCATTTAGCAGACGCTCTTATCCAGAGCGACTTACAGTTAGTGAATACATATTTTTATTTTTTATTTTTTAATACTGGCCCCCCGTGGGAATCGAACCCACAACCCTGGCGTTGCAAACGCCATGCTCTATCAACTGAGCTACATCCCTGCCGGCCATTCCCTCCCCTACCCTGGACGACGCTGGGCCAATTGTGCGCCGCCCATGAGTCTCCCGGTCGCGGCCGGCTGCGACAGAGCCTGGATTCGAACCAGGATCTCTAGTGGCACAGTTAGCACTGCGATGCAGTGCCTTAGACCACTGCGCCACTCAGTGCTCTTGTTCATTGAAATCCATCCAGATTAGTTTGATTATTCTGTTTCTTCTTAGCATTGGTATTCCCCAACAATCCTGTTTTCAATCGTGTTGGTTTGTTTGTCCTTAACAGACCCTAATCTGCCTCTCAAACTCTGTTATCCTAGCCATGTAATTCTCTTGGCTGCAAAATGTGGAAAGTGTCTCCATTCTCTGACTGAAATCACTGTTTGCCATGAGTGGATTGACTGAAGTATCAATCTACAAAAACATGGAGAAGAATGATTTGTTGATTATAAACACAATGTTTCAATTGTAAAATAACTAAATCATTTGGTTTTGACTATTCATTGTGTGCTACTAAGTGACCACTGAACATATCCACTTCACAAAACTAAATACGGTTACTCGCTGAACACTTACACTTTCATTGGTTTGCGCTAGGATGTCCTCATCCTCTTTAATCCAGTCCTCTTCCTCTTTAATCCAATCATTCGCATAATTTACAACTCTCCTTTTCCTTTTCTGTGAAAAGTCCAAATAATTAATGAGAATTAATGAAAAAATGAAATAATTTGCCAAAATAATATATGCTTTGAGAATGCAAGAGTACTTTGGTCTGTTTTTGTCACGGAGTGCATTAGTGGTTGAAATTAGCCTGGCAATATGAACCTTTCATGTAGTATTTTGCTCTAAGGTAAAATGTCCCTTTAGGTGGCACAATGAAGAATGCTTTTATCAAAGAGTTGATTGCATACCACAGCCAGTGCTGTCCTGCAGACTATAGGGCAGTGGTTTTCCAACCTCTCCTTGGGGACCCCACCCAGATGTTTCACAATTGTGTTGTAGCCTTGACTCAACTCACATGATTCACCTATTCAAGGGCTTGATGATTAGGTGACAAGTTGAAACAGGTGAGCTAGCTGTGGAATAGTTAAAATACATAGAACGGCTGCGGGTCACCGAAGACAGTTTTAAACCCCCCTGCCTATAGGGGATTCTTTGAGTAGTCATACAGTAATAACACTAACTCATCCAGTGCCTCCTGGTGGTACCTTTGGGAAATAACATAACCTTTCAGTTTTTCTAAGCCGAAAGTACCGCATTGAAAATTCAGTAAAAAAAAATTCTCACTCACATTTGAATAAACCATAGTATTAAAGGGCAGTCAGGCTAAGGCACAAGAAAAAATTAATCCATTCACATTACAAAGGATTTGGAGGTAGGTATATTGGTTTATTTTTAACTCAACTTCAACAGAAAAAGAAAACGTAACAAGTAGAACCAATGATGTATATAAACCAAGGATTACTCATGCTATGTACTGGCCATTGAGAGGCTTTGAAGCCACCGGTTGGCCATATGACACTCCCTAGTAGGAGCAGTCCTCCATAGGAATGAAAGGAATTCTACGGTAGTTCAATTAAATGTTTCAAGGACAAAATTACATGTACTTAAGTATTTTTTTTTTGGTGTAGTGGGTGGGGACAGTAACATTAGTAATCTAAAAATAATATACTTTAAGGAAAATGTGTTGATATTTTTTTCACTTTTTATTTTTATGTTAAGCTCACATTATAAAATAAGAGCGTGCCAAAACGGAGGCAAGGTGGCTTCAACACAGCGCCCCCTATCAGTCATCTAGTGTATATACAGTATAACTCATTGAGTAGAACACACTTGTAATAAGCACTGAATTGATCAAAAACAAGTTAGTAACAAGTTCGAATACCTGCCCCACTCATTTACACCACTCACAAAAACATAATCCAATCGTGTTTCACTATACTGTGTACGGTATAAAGGAAATAATATTTGAAATAAAGTGGATGATCTTTGACATGGTATAGAAGCATTGGCATATGAGGTTACTATGCTTAATTGTTTCAGTGAAAAAGTCAAATGTCAGCAGTAACAGTTCCACCACCACTTATGGGCTCATAAAGTATCACAGTTAGCCAGTGGTGTAATCAGTGACTGATGGTGATTTATTCGACCCATCAATTGTGATCACCCAATCAATGTTCCATCACCACTATGTTGTAAGCATGTTCTTTTTGCACTGCCGTCATGTTTGCCGGTGCAGATGTACCTCGCTCATCTTTCACGGTGGCCATGCATTTCATTGTAGAGATCTGTTTAGCCAAACTGTCCCTCAACGCCTCTCCGCTGGTCTCATTGGATGCTAGCCACTCCTTCAGAACCTCTGTCACCTTGCTTCCGTCCTCAATCTTCACTGGCTCCAGCACGTCTCCCGACCTGAGGCAGATGTTATGCAGCACGGTGCACACCGCTAGCACTTTGGGGATGAAGCTCGGGTGGAGCTCAAGAGGCTGCAGGAAGATAGTGTGCCAGCGCTTCTTCATGATTCCAAAGGTCCTCTCGATGGAGGAGAGAGCCATGGCGTGGTGCTGGTTGAACTGGACGTGCGCCGGGTTCTGGTCAGACTTTGAATAGGGTGTGATGAGGCACACGGGCGTCTGTAGGCAAGGGTACCCACCGTTGCCCAGGAGGAAGCATCCAGGTGGAGGGTAGAGGGCACATTTGTAAAGGGGACTGTGCCTCAGGACCCTCACGTCGGTCATAGACCCAGGCAGCCCTGCGAAGACGTCGATGAAGCTGCCCGTGTGGTCGCAGACCCCTTGGAAGTTGATGGTGGGGAGGGGCCGGTCACCTGGACATTGTTGGGGTTGCGGTGCACCGGGGATCTTGACCCTGACGTGGCACCCACCTATGGCCCCCACAGCTTTCTCAAACACCGGGTGATGGGCCAGCTTGCCGAACCCTTCCACCGTGAGGGCCAGCTCGCCTGAAGAGGGCTTGTTCACAATCTTCAGGGAGAGCTTGACCAGTTTGTCCGCAACATCGCGGACGATGCTGGTGGCATTGGACAGAGGGATTCCGAAAGTCTCAGAGACAGTTTTATAGGAGGTTCCGTGGGCCAACCAGTAAATAAAGACGAGGATCTTGAACGTTGCCGTCTGTCTGTCTTGACCAGTCAGGGCCAAGGAGAACAGATAATTCAGAGATTCCCTCTTTAGTCGGTAGTCAGGATACGTGTCTCGTTCAGGGTCACAGAAGACTTTGAGGATGGGAGAGGAGGGATTCAGCTTACTGCACTGAAGTAGACCTCCGTTCTGTAAAAAGACGACCAATTGTATGTAAATAAACACGTAGAGGGACTTGGTAGCCTGCCTGGTAGTCTGAGGCCTATGTCGATACAACAGGCATTTCTGTACGTTCAATAAGCTTCAGTTTTTTTTTATGTATAGGTCTTTGCTGTCTTTTTAGGGGATTGACTTTGTTGTTCATTTCCAGATGCTGCTGGACCTTGGGAGACACTTGGGAGGGCTGGGCCAGGTTCTTTCTTGAATAACTTTTCCATTGTTTGGGTTTGATTATTTGACTGTTGTATTTTTCTTCCCTTTCCTTTCCCATCCTTTGTCATGGCTCTGATTAGGGTTTTTTAATGACCAAAACATGTCTCAATAGATATGTATATCTCACAACCAACCATCTCAACAGCATGTGTAAAAACCTCTGATGGAAAGTGGACTGACCTGATGCTGGGTCATTGATGATCCTGGCGTTTCTTTCTCCTCTGTTCTGTCTTTACTGTCTATTCTGTCGTCTCGCCACAGGCTTTGGCTCCACTCCTTATCAAACACCATGTCCACTTTGGGACACGGCTGCTCATCTGAAACAGACACAGGTGCCATTATAGTAAATACAACGTATCAAATTCACTTCAAAAAGCTTAGTATGTACAGTCTGGGCAAAAGGTTATGCACTATTCTCAAACATAGAACTGTGATACATCAAACTGTCACACTCACATGTCATTGGAGATGGTGTGTCATGTTCTGTGTCATCATTTATTTCCTTCTTGATGCGAAGTACTTTTAATCCATCCTTCTCCATGGTAACAACTTTTAACAATTTCCACTGAAAATTTTACAAAAACAAATTTACTTGAAGAACAGTGCAGGTGTAAAGTTTGGTAACAGAATGACGGTAAAATCTCCCTCCATTTTTTTATGTGACTACAGTTTCCAAAAACTCTTAAATATCTACTTCGAGTTAAGACTGAAAGATGTCTGCAGAAACAATGGGGTATCTGCTATGATATGACACCTTGAGTTTGAAAAAATATATATTTTGGTTATTGAACTACAGTAAATGAAGTGGATTAACACCCTTTAACACAATTATGGTGACAGAATGACATCATGGGTCCCTGATTTGTACTATACAGAAATGCATATTTATGAATGTCATTCTCGTCATGGTACAAATAAAACACTGGCTAGTACTCTAATGAGCTCCGGTACCAAACAATACCAAATTTGGTTGGTCCGGACCAAATCTGTACCAATCATGGACGTCTATGTTATACAAGTCTGGACATCGCGGTACAAATTGGTAACAGAATGACAAAATTGCAGTAAAACATTTTAAAGAGAAAATATGAGTGAAGTTTTGACAGCTTCGGATGGTGCCTGCTCTTGGTGAAGGCCTCTATTCGTTTGGCAGGCGAGTTGGATGGTACTAGGGAGGGACAGGTTTGATGATGGTGGAGTTGGTTAGCCGGTTCTGACATTGTTCTCAGTCCCCACCCCTCTGTAGCCACTGGACGACTCCTCCACTAGCTATGTGTAGCACCCACTTGGGTGACGCTTCTTCTGCTGCCGAAACGGCGATAAAAGCTCACCACACATCAGTCCAGTGTATAAAGCCACCCTCACCTCAAGGGAGCCCTCTGCCATCTCCACATTGCAGTCATCTCACTTTGGGTGGGTGAAACTAGAAGCGGGTGCTGAATGCATCTTTGTAATGCAAACAGTAGTTTGTTAGCTATAGCTAGCTAAGCAAACCAAATCAATCAATTTGCCATCATTTGTGCCATTCCATTGTTCAAGGCAACTAGATATATATTTCGATAGAAATTCAATGAGTTATCAAACACACAAAAACATAATAGGTAGCTTAGTGGTTAAGAGCGTTGTGCCAGTAACCGAAAGGTCGCTGGTTCTAATCCCCGAGCCGACTAGGTGAAAAATCTGTCGTTGTGCCCTTGAGCAAGGCACTTAACCCTAATTGCTCCTGTAAGTCGCTCTGGATAAGAGCGTCTGCTAAATGACTAAAATGTAAATGTAAATAATAAAAAATAAAAAAAACACTTAAATCAACTAAAATATGTACAATATTTTACAGGAGCTCTCCGACTGTACTGACCTATACTCTACTTTTCTGTACTGTACTCTACCGTGCTGTCCAAACTTGTGAAACAGACGTCTATGATTGGTTCAGATTTGGATTGACCAAATTTCAACTATGTTTCAATGTCCATGGATGTCCAGTGCTCAGTGGGTGAGGTGGCTGGTTACAGTAAATGTAAAGAGAGGGGGCTCATTGGTAGGCGTCAGTAAGAGCCAAAAGAGGTGACATTAAGTGGAGAGAGACAGAGGAGAGACAGGGAGAGGGAGGGGTTGTCCAGACTGTTTTCACATTCTTGCTTTGATCCCCATAAGACAGAAAAAGAAAGAAAAAAGTTATGAGCTGAACATAACAGCATGCCAGTGGAAAGGAGGACAGTAGCAGGTGACCCAACTGTGGTTTGTATCTACTATGATCTCCTATTGTAGCCAATTCAGTTGCGGAAATTCTGTTACAAATATTTTGGTCATTCTGTTACTGATTTGGAAACAGATTGAAACGTTTTAATCCCTTAATAAATCATAAGCCAAATTATCAGTAAAAACACGAACTATTTGGTAGGTCTACCTTTAATTGTTACCTGTAAACTTTCATAATCTTCCCACTTAAAGATATGTGGTGTTTTGTTAAAAGTATAACAATATTTCTTAAACTTACAGGCTAATAATTTCTGCAAAACTACATTTAAATGTTGATATTAGTTGGCAGCGGTAACATTGTGTTTTGATGGATTTCAAATACCTTGTAAGACTTTTTCTGCTACATGTTTTTTAAGAAAACATCCACTCCACTGTTTCCGCTTAAGCTACTGCCCATCCTTTCTGAACTGCCTGGCTGAACAACACCTTATCATCTGAAGCTGTGGAAGACCATTGCCCAAGACCTGCCAGATCTCTACATTGGTTTTGTTTGTTTTTACAGCATCTTTGAGATTCTCTTTGTAATGAAAAGCGCTATATAAAATACATCTATTATTATTATGACCCATTTTCCATGTTTGCCCAGAAAGTCTTTGCTTATTCCTAATTTTTAGGATGGAAAATGGTTGAAATATTTATATATGCCTTAATTTCAAAAAAAGATATTGCCTCTTAGCTTTCATTTGACACCAAATGTAATGTGCTCCTATGAACTACACATAATTAGTACACATGGTTCCTTTTACATGATAATGCCCGTATACAAACCTGGGATTGGCCAGCCGGCTCCTGAGATTGCAGCCCTACACCTGTCTTCTCTCCCTTTCCATCTTCTTTTGTGTGGACAAATTCATCTATACAATTACCATAAACAGAAGAAACCATAAAATACATGGTTGATTATTTGCCCAAAAATAAATCGTGTAAAAAAAACAATGCAATCAACTTAGTTTCCAACCATCCACACAGTTACATTTCCTGCCTTCAGCTTCAGCTACATGACGATGAGCGACAGAACGCTGCTTTGCCGCCATCGACTTTCCTTCAAAAATGTGCAGCTTCTTTTTATTCGATTCGTTTTCGACTTTTAATGCTTCGTTCTCCAGTTTACTCTTGGACAACTGTTGGCGAAGGACCACGGCACTGTCCTCTACAAGTCTGACTATTTCCACGACCGCTGCCGTCACTACCGCGTTCATGAGAGAGGTTAGCTGACTTTGAAAGTGGGCAGCATTCTCCATTTTCATTTGCTAATAAATCTTCAACTTTGTTTAGAAAACAATAATGTGAGGACTGGTTATCAAAACCTACACGTATCCACGTTGTCTTCTACCTTTCCCTGGCAAATTGTAAACAATGGTTGTGCATGACTTCCTATTTGGGGAGGAGCTATTGACGAGTTGGTCACGAGGTCATGCAATAAGTATGGTGTGGTGCAAGTACCAAAATTAATTTAGAACGTCATGACCTGAATTTTTTTTATTTTAAAATGCATTTAAAATGTACTTGCAAAACTATAAAGCAAGCAACTATGTCACTAGCCAAATAATATTATATTAACTTCATAGGCTACAAATTGTCCTGCTATCTCAAAATGTGCCTTCCCACTGTAATCTCAATATTAATCAACTACAGTATATTTAGAATACCAGTAGAAATGCAAAAACCCACATTTAAAACATGTCAATAAGCTTATTAAATCTGTTAAGATTTATTTAATTCATTAGTCATACAACATTATTCAATAGAAAAAGAACAGAAAGAAGAGAACATTTAAATAAATCTGACAGTCCTCTACGAACACTACGTTGGGATTTACATTTACGTCATTTAGCAGACGCTCTTATCCAGAGCGATTTACAGTTAATGAGTGCATACATTTTCACAGTATCACACATCTATGGTTGCGACATGAATCATCACTGAGGTAGCATTTAAAATAAAAAACAATTACTCTACAACAACATTGCATTGCCATTTTGACTCATCTAACTCATCTTCCATATTCCAGGATTTGAATGCTCGGCAACCCCAGCTCTGTACGAACCACTTCTTGCCATGATGCTCTTGATTTTGATCTCTGGCCTCAGGTCTACAGGGGCATCTTCCCAAGTGCCTCCGCAAATCCTGCCAAACAAACATTCCTTTCTATATGAATCTATTCGCATCACCTGGTTTGGGTTTCCTTTTCACTTTGAGTCACCCGGATCCATTATTTGTGATGTTGGTATTGTGTTGGAAATTCCGATTGTTCCTCAGTTTCTCCAGCAACACTTTCCGCTGTCGAAACTTAAGACATAAGCAATTTCAGTGTTCTCTTTCTCATGCTGTTTCAAGTGGCAGGAGATTTTTGATTGGGGCTCTCTACATACAAAAATACTGGTCCTGACAGAACGAAAAAAAACTTTCGGGTGAGGCTCCCTTCTGCACCGTTCAAATTATTATCTGTCTTAGATGTTTAAGTTCGGATAGTGATTGAACGAGCCGTACACGGATCCCTAACAGCATATGTTTCGAAAACCTTTACGCAAGTGATGATTTACGTTTCTAAACGTTCACACGGAGCCAACCATGGGCGAAGCTAACCGCTGAAAACCCAATCAATAAGAAGCGTTTTTGAGAGGTACAGTGCCTTGCAAAAGTATTCATCCCCCTTGGCGTTTTTCCTATTTTGTTGCATTACATCCTGTAATTTAAATGGATTTTTATTTGGATTTCATGTAATGGACATACACAAAATAGTCCAAATTGGTGAAGTGAAATGAAAAAAATAACTTGTTTCAATAAATTCTAAAAAAATAAATAACGGAAAAGTGGTGTGTGCATATGTATTCACCCCCTTTGCTATGAAGCCCCTAAATAAGATCTGGTGCAACCAATTACCTTCAGAAGTCACATAATTAGTTAAATAAAGTCCACCTGTGTGCAATCTAAGTGTCACATGATCTGTCACATGATCTCAGTATATATACACCTGTTCTGAAAGGCCCCAGAGTCTACATCACATGTATGTAAGATTATGGAACATATGATTATGGAGAGGCTAACTTACTTCCTGGAGAGCAGAGGGCTAGTAACACCAT